AACAAACCAATAAACCAAATATGGGCAAAAAAAGATGTCACCTTGGCAGAGATAACATACATGATCAGGATTTATAGTCAGCCATGCATAAATGCATTTTGAGCAGTTGTAAAAATAATATATAGTGCGACAAGAACCAGGATATATCTCGAGACAGAGAGCTTTGTCTTTTGCCTGTTGAATTTATTACATACACTATACTTATATAAGCAACTACAAGTGCTATCTGTCTTATTGAATACTTAAATTGAGAGAAAGTCATCCATGGAATTTGGAGACGGTCAAATAAATATGTTAGCCATAGGAGGGGATGGTGAAGGTGTGGAATTGAAGCAGTCTGGGATGCAGGGTAGGATCCAGGATTATTTGAAGGGGGGGTCCAGTTTTTTTAAAGAATGATAGGCCTCAGATGCGAAGCCGATCTTTGCCCCCTTGGTGTGGGGTTCGGTTGTTTGGAAGGCAGTTGGTGCCGTTTGGTGCAGTTTAGAAATATGATTCAGGTCTTTAAAATTCTAATATCAAGAGGGGAATATTGTTTTTTTTTATCAGAATCTGCCACTGGGGTGGGTAGCTGAGCTGGACATGATGGGAGAATGTATTTTTTATGACCAAGCCGTGGGGTGTTTGGCGAAACTTCAACTTCTACAGTAGATAAGGCATAATTTATATATGTGTGTATATTTATATGCTCTATATTATTCTTTAGATATGAAAAATCTTGATAATATCGGTCAAATGTTTAAGTACCAGTAAGCATTCATAAATTGTATGTTGATCCTGATGGACAAATGACAGGAATGGTAGGGAATGAAAATAAGTTTCCTGTTACTTTTAATGATTTTTTTTTCACATAAAAACATCATCTTAAATGAAAAATGTGTCTCTTACAGCAAAAGTGCTTAAACGTAACATTTGCACTGAGGTCTTTCATCTTGAATGACATAACATACATTGTGCAAGCTATGTCTATAACGTGTCACCTTATCACCTCTATAATGATAACAGAAATGTAAGATGTCCTATCTTTATTAAAAAAAGTATAATTAAATAATTTTTAAAAAAATATTTTTCATGAAAGATTTGTCTGAAGTCCCGTGTAAAACAGCATTGATATATTAATCACAGTTACATTTTGTTTCTTAGAAATGTATTTTTTATAGTTCAAATCATACTTTAAATGAGGCAAAGCAAAGTTCACCTGTTACACTTGAAAGTATGATAATGGTAACATCAACTAAGAGACATTGTTCTAACCATAACACCAGTTGTTTCTTTTTTTTATCATTAAATATCAAATTTTGTTTTTATTGCTGATATATATTGTTGGAACTATGAGCTGGATTCCTTTCCCTCTTTTATAAAATTCGGCACAAATTACTTTGCAAAAAAATATTTTCATTAAATGTGCTTAGGTTGTATTTTTAAACTAAGGTTATGATTGGAACATTTTTTCTTTCGTTTTTTTCTTTAAATAGGACTTTAAATAGGAAAAAAGTATTTTCCCCATCTTAGCAGACAGAAAGGTCATTGTACAGCAATATTAGAATAAAATAGAATATTTAAGGTACAGTAGCAAAACATATTGAACATGTGCATAATCTGAAGTTACAGTTCCCCTCTGAAATACTGAACACTTTTACCTAAGCCAGCTAATGCATATTTGAATTTCAGCAAATTCCTATAACTAGCTAGTGCTGCACATAAAAGAATTTTTAATTAGTCTGATATTGAATAGTTGCAAGAAGTCGAACTATTTCATCTTCTCTTCCATGACACCCAAAGTATGTGTGAGGTTGAAAAGTTAATGAAATACTTAATTAAGACAGTCTGTGAGTCATCCTTTTGGAACAAACATTGAATTAAAGCTTTGTGTGTTAATTAATTAGGAGTACAAAATAGAATTTTAAAAGGATGCACATCACTACATTCTGTAAATAATCTACAAGATTTATAAGGGAAGGAGTGTGCATGAATTAATTTCATCAAAACCTCCAGGTGTCTAATTAAAGCTGATTGTGTCCTTTTCAATTTTCATGTACATTGCTAATTTTGAAATGTATTCATAATATTAGTCTGGCCATTCAGCTTGCCACCAGTAAAATGAATTTTCATTGAATCCTACATTAACCTGCTGCAAAGTTTAAAAACTCTTTGGCCATACATCTTTTTTTAAAGCTTTATTTCCTTCTTCCTCAGGGTACAGCCTACAGCAAGGAAGATGGCACTGATACCAGTGCCACCCTCGGGAGCTCTTCAGATCAGTTTGAGGAGGACGAAAACCCAGAGAGAGGAAATTGGACTGGGAAGCTGGACTTCATTCTGTCCTGCATTGGCTTTGCTGTAGGTCTGGGAAATGTGTGGAGATTCCCATACCTGTGCTATAGAAATGGAGGAGGTAGGGGAATTGTGTATGGCTCAGAGTATCATGTCTTTAAAAACTATGCACAATTTCTTGCATTTTTGGGTGGATCCCAGCCACATACCATACCCCTTTTGCAATAGACATATGATGCCCATTCCACAGTATTCCACATCCCACAGGATCGACTCACAATAGATAACAAGAATGATTTCAGGGAAATGAAATCCATTATTTTTTGGTTGTCACTTTGTAGTTGTTTTCATGGTACTAATCTATATGTAACATGGCCTGTAATAAATGTGGGCTCTGGCTACAACCCTTTTGCAGCAAAGGTACTGGAGGGAGATTCCCCCTCCCCCTGACCCCCTTGTGATTTTTAAAACCTTTTGCTGTGAAATAACATCTGCAGTATAAGGTGCAGTATATGCTTTGAGCGTGTGCGCCATTTGATTGATTAAAAATCAATTTTTGGTTAGTGAAATTATAGAAAATGGCTGGGAGGTTAATTTTATTTTTTGCCGTGAGACAGATAGATAGAGCCTCATCAGTGCTTCAGTTTCATTGTGAATGCTTGGCGCTTGAAAGACCATGTTTTTTTGTGTTTGTGAAAATATAGACCATTTTATATTGGTTATTGCTAACTGGGTTATTTGAAAATCATTTATTATAAATTCATGTCATCACATATGGGTAATGAGATAATTTTGTTTTAAAAAAATATCTTTACATAAATAAGAATGACTTAGAGGCATTAATAGTTTGCCGGAATTGAAATTTATAATGATATGAAAAGAATGTTATGAAATACGTAGTTGAAAATCTGCTGGAGGTCTCTGAAGTATACCAACGGAACAAAATAACCCCTGTGAACCATATTATATTTTCTTTAACTGATATAAGAGCCTACAATGTAATATTTAAGGACAAATATTTTAAGGACAAAAGTATTTTGTATTCCCCTCGGTGTTACACACTTGAATACTGTGGAATGATCTTTATTGAAAAAGCTGTTCTTTGTATGTACACTAGTTTTGACATCTGATCATTGGTTGTTACCTAATATCTGGTTTAAATGTTTGAGTCTTTCAAAAGTAGCAAAACATTAAGGCATTTTTACCTTTTTTTGCAAAGTTTTCGAAATCACTTGTCTAAAGTGATGGATATGTGCAAATGGTGGTAGCCCTTTTTTGGCTGAGGTGAAGTTTATATAGACTACCTGTAAAAAGAGAACACATGAACAAAGAAATATATTATTTACCTATAGTCAACAAGATATATGGTTACAAAACAGCAAAAGAGTAAAAAATAGCTGTTAGTGGTTTACACATTCCCAAAGCAACAAAACATTTGCCACTATAATAGATATTAATTTTCATGTCAATATTTAAACAAGAAACATTAAAAAATATTTTTCTAGTAATGTAATTGTACCAGTTTGCATTCATGTTGCTCATCATTTTAAATTGAATTTCTAGATGTATTTGTTATGTTCACCTTGAGGTTTAGACTGGGTTCCCATGCCCAGATCATTCCATCTGGATCGGTCTAACTCCCTGGAGAGTCTCACTAAATTGCTATCTACTAACTGGCTTAAATGTCTGTCACGCCTACCGAATCAGCTAGGGAGTAAAGATAATTACCCCCTAACAGCTATACTAGGCGTGACAGACATTTAAGCCAGTCATGTTGATAGCAATTTAGTGAGAGTCCCCAGGGAGATAGATCGATCCAAATATCTGTGGGAATGGTTCCTTAGTGATAACTGGACCCCAGCCTCTAAATTTTCTGCTTGTTGATAATATACATCCAGGTAAACTCTAAAACTTGGGGTGATCTTATCCAACTATACTGGCTCTTTGTTTTATTTCAGGAGCTTTCCTTATCCCTTATGTAATAATGTTAGCTTTGGCAGGACTGCCACTCTTCTTTATGGAACTGGCTTTTGGACAGTATGCCTCCTTAGGCCCACTTACCATCTGGAAGATTAGTCCTATTTTCAAAGGTAAATATTTTTGTTAAAAGCTGTGCCTCATTAACACTTTTTTGTAATCTTTTTGATCCAGTGTCAACTCCAGCTTTTGTCCATTTCATTCCTGAATCTGTTTTGAAATTTCATTTGACTGAACAAAATTCATTACCATCTGCCCCGAAATAAAAAACTTAATAATTAAAACTTTCTCACTTATTATTGACAAAATTATTGTAACTAGTCAGTTATGATGCATTTTTTGTCAATCAGTTACGAAATATTAATAACATTTTTTCATAATTTAGTTTTCTTCATAAACAACTGAATTTTACAAAAATTCTTTATATAAGGATTTATAAAAAAATAATTGTCTTTTACTTTTATTCCAGGCCTTGGTTATGCCATGGTGATCATCTCTGGATTGGTATGTATTTACTACAATNTTATCAGGTATTGTACTGTAATAGCAAATTAAAGAGACTTTTCACTTTGACTTGTACTTACATATTTAAAAATTTTAAAAACAATAGATGTAAAAATTATTCATGATATAGATGCTAGAGGATTTCTGATTTCACAAAAGTGGGTGCAGTTGGGGTCTCAATTGAGCAACATATTACTTGTTACTTAAGTATACTAAAATTTTTTTGATGTTTTGTGGTATAGAATAGTTCAATGCATATATGATCATTTTGCTTCAGGTTTGGGGTGATGCAGCTGTACAGATATTCTATTCCTTGGGTCCTGCCTGGGGAGGACTTATTACAATGGCCAGTTACAACAAATTTCGCAACAACTGTTACAGGTACGGCTTGGTTATAATTGATATTTGATATTGTTCAATGCAATATTAAATCCATAATGAAAAAGTTACAAAAGCCCAATATGTCTTTTTTTATTTACAAAAATTTGAACATAATGAGAGTATTTAAAAGATGCTTTTTTGAGAAACTTCATAAATTTACAATTCAACATTGATTTCTATTAAAAATTGATTTTTAGAGATGCCATCATAGTGGCTATCACCAACTGTGGGACAAGTGTTTTTGCTGGCTTTGTAATCTTCTCTGTGGTTGGATTCATGGCATCCAAGACGGGACAACCCGTAGATCAAGTGGTTGCCAGTGGTAAAAGAATTTTTCTTTTTATAAATAATTAAGTTATAACCAGTTAGTAAGAATAAATTAAATTAATTTATTCTTACTAACTGGTTATAACTTAAGTATTATATTATTGGCGTAAAATATTTAAAAAAAATAATAATAAAATAAAAAGAAATTATATATTTTGTAATTTGTAATAAACACTGTCAAAGTAACATTTTAGTTTCAAAATGTTCAAATTGGAAATTGCAGTGACTTCTTTGAAAATACTAGACACTCATTTAAATTATTTGATACACCACATAGGTGAATAATAAAAATGAATGGGTTTGAAAATGTAAATGTATCACTTCCAGGTCCAGGCCTGGCCTTTGTTGCCTACCCAGAGGGTCTGGCTAGGATGCCAGGGGCACCATTCTGGTCCATTTGTTTCTTTTTTATGCTGCTCACTTTGGGATTGGACAGTCAGGTAACTGTACTGTGTATTGTTTTCTCTAACACATTGTCACCTTTTACCGGTACACAATTTTAAACCATGGATTTTGAATTTTTCATTGAATGCAATGTAAAATCTCATTTTACTTTCAGTTTGTAATGCTGGAGACAGTTACCAGTTCCTTCATTGATGAATTTCCTGATCTTCTGCGTCCAGTGAAGATGTGGTTCACTTTAGGACTATGTGTAATAATGTATTTATTGGGACTTCCTTGTATTACTAATGTAAGTACTGTTAATTTTTATTTCCTTTATTGTTTCATTGATTTTGCAAAACACAGCTTGCTCTTAATATACTGTTATGATTATATTTTCATTAAAACTTATGGAGCCATCTATAGGCTTACTTTCACATTTTTTTTGCTTGAAAATGTCCTGGACTCTCTCCACCCCCACCCCTAAAATTATGCTCACAAAAAAGTTGTTGGTTTGATAATTTACAACTATCTTAAGTCCCTTTTTGATCGTGATCTGTCTGCAGCCTTATATAAGCATTAAAACCTTCTCTATTTTGGGGGTAAAATGTTATACTTTCTGAGATATTTCTGTATGGGCAATCTTTTTTGAGAAGAGTAATGGTAATGTACAGTATGTTACAAGATTAATCAGAAATGTTTCACACTTTTTATACACAGCACAATAAGTGTTTTATCATTTGTCCAACATTAAACAAGATGTATGCTTTGACACAGGTTGATTGTGACCAGGCTGTAACACTGAACAAAACCAAAAAAAGAAAAGGGATGTTTTTTTCTAAATACTCCCTCTATTTTCCAGGGTGGTATGTACATCTTCCAGCTGATAGACTGGTATGCAGGTGGGATATCTCTGATGATAGTGGGCCTGTTTGAATGTATCTGTATTTGTTGGATATATGGTAAGTTTTTACAGACTATCCACTGCTAAGGCTGGTTTAGAACAGTCTAGGTGTAAAGGCAAAATATTTGTGCATCTTAAGTCCAAAGCAATGAATTTCAGTCATCCTTTTGACACTTTAAATGTATCTGTTCATTCAAACAGTTATCGGATCATTTTTGAAATTTATAAATAATAAAACTACAGTTAAAATGTGTCATGCTCAGGTTGTAATTAAGTGGTTATTGATCTAAATTTTTATATATAAATATTATGTCATTTAGCATATACAGTGTTAAGTTTCATGTATACATAAGTTTTGGGGATAAGAAATGCTTCTCTCATCTAGGTATCAGAAGATTCTCTGATGACATTTATGCCATGATTGGATTGAGGCCCAATTATTACTGGTTAGTGTGTTGGATGGCAGTAACTCCAGCTGTAATTCTGGTAAGTAGTTCTTTATTTTTACAAATACTTGTCAGATCACATCAATCACTTTGATATCAGTTCACCTTTTCCAGTGAAATGGAAATCCTATCCGACCACAAGCACAATAAAAGAAAATTTATTTAGGAGAAAATTGTTTATAAGTCGTTTGTGTGTGTGTTTTGGTGTCAACAGCAAAGAGATGACAACTGTTTATTTGGCCAAAGTGGACTAAACAAATTTCTATATTTACCAATAGTTAATTAATCTGTTCCGACATTGAAAGTTGGCCTATGTTTTTTTTTTCTAAAAAATTGTTTTGTTTTTTTTGTAATAATCTCTTGTCTCTTCTTTCAGGGTATCATAATATTCTCCTCTGTGAACTACACCCCCGTGAAGTACAATGACTATGTGTACCCCCCCTGGGCTGAGGCTATGGGTTGGATGATGTCAATATGTTCTATAATCATGTTGCCTATAGGAGCCATTGTTCAACTCTTCAGATATAACAGATGGTACCAGGTATGAAGAATGATATTTTCATTAATATTTTTTGTAATTTGAAATAAACATTTTGTATCTAGTTGTGTGTAGGTGGGTGTGAATGCATATTTGTTATAAAAGGGTTTATTATTAGTTATATGAACAGTTGTACTAACTAAATAATCATTACAGAAAATAAATCAAGTTTTTGGGGTGTAGCTCTTTTATCACTTGTTTATCAGTCCTGTTAAAAGATATTGACAATCTTTCTTTCAGACCTCCTCCTTCTGGGATCTTCTTCGCATAACTAGCATTCCAACAGAGGACTGGGGCCCTGCTTCCCTCAGAAATCAAAAGAACCCCACCACCACAGACATTACAAAACAAACAGACATGGGTAACAGTACCCAATCCATCTCTTCAAAAGCCAGCACCATGTATGAGAGTCACATGTAAAGTATAATAAGCTGACATCCAATTTTAACAATGTCTTTTTTTTTGGATGGTATGGATATTGACTCATTTGAGATAGTGGTGCATGCATTTAATGTACTTTGTCTGAATAATCTCAACATGACTACATATGCACTTGTTATGCAACATTGTCTTTGAGAATTTGGCAACAAAGCATTACATTAAATATTTATCAGCATATTAGGAAGTTTTTAACTTATTTATACTTGCATAACATGCTTTGGTTTGTTTTGCTATATTATGTGAGGACTGGTAAGCACACATTTTGTCCTTTTGTAAAGTTGGGCAGTGACAACCATTTTAGATGGAACATTTTACTCAGATAATGTAATTGAATCAAAGATGCATTATATTGTGGTTGTGCAGACATTGCTGTACCCAAGAAGTAAAAGACTTTCTGGGCAAGGTGCATATTTCATTTTTCTTGGTAGGTAGATCTGTCAAAGTTTCAAATTTCGTTTTTAAAGTCTCACAAGTAGCAAAGAATAGGCCAGCAGTATGGTGCATAATTATAGACAATGTATTTTAAAAAGAGTATAAAGAAACATATCTAATGCAATTGATACTTTTGTGATATTCAGAATTTTATTTAAAAATTCATTAAAAGCAACTACAGTGAATGATTTTAGATCTTTTCTATCTGGGTTTGTTGACTCAGGCAAATGTTTAGGTTAAATTATCTCTCTTTACTGAATCTCTGTGTATTTTGCTTCTAACTGCATAATTATGAAATGTGTAGATATTGAAAAAATCTTCAGAAATCATGAAATGGGTTATAATTATATTTTAAATATTACTGTTACTCAAGTGTAGGCAATATTTAATAGAGAAACGGGTAACTTTTATACTACATCTTGCAAATTAATGTCCAGACTTGCCTTTTTACATCAATAATGTCAAAAGATTTTAATAGTAAATAAAAATCAAATGATGAGTATCCATTTCTAATTTTTGAATGTCTTCCCCCCCCCCCNAGTTTTTTGTGAAAATTTAATTTTTCACTTATTTGCATCTTTATTTTCTGTTTTTTTGTCTGTACATTTGACAGCTTTGCTGCCTTGTTCTAAATACTCCCTCTATTTTCCAGGGTGGTATGTACATCTTCCAGCTGATAGACTGGTATGCAGGTGGGATATCTCTGATGATAGTGGGCCTGTTTGAATGTATCTGCATTTGTTGGATATATGGTAAGTTTTTACATACTAACCACTGCTAAGGCTGGTTTAGAACAGTCTAGGTGTAAAGGCAAAATATTTGTGCATCTCAAGTCCAAAGCAATGAATTTCAGTCACCCTTTTGACACTTTAAACTTGTCTGTTCATTCAAAGAGTTATCAGATTATTTTTGAAATTTATAAATAATAAAACTAAAGTTAAAATGTGTCATGCTCAGGTTGTAATTAAGTGGTTATTGATCTAAATTTTTATATATAAATATTATGTCATTTAGCATATACAGTGTTAAGTTTCATGTATACATAAGTTTTGGGGATAAGAAATGCCTTCTCTCATCTAGGTATCAGAAGATTCTCTGATGACATTTATGCCATGATTGGATTGAGGCCCAATTATTACTGGTTAGTGTGTTGGATGGCAGTAACTCCAGCTGTAATTCTGGTAAGTAGTTCTTTATTTTTACAAATACTTGTCAGATCACATCAATCACTTTGATATCAGTTCACCTTTTTCAGTGAAATGCAAATCCTATCCCACCACAAGCACAATAAAAGAAAATTTATTTAGGAGAAAATTGTTTATAAATCGTTTGTGTGTGTGTTTTGGTGTCAACAGCAAAGAGATGACAACTGTTTATTTGGCCAAAGTGGACTAAACAAATTTCTATATTTACCAATAGTTAATTAATCTGTTCCGACATTGAAAGTTGGCCTATGTTTTTTTTTCTAAATTTTTTTTTTTTTTTTTTTTTGTAATAATCTCTCCTGTCTCTTCTTTCAGGGTATCATAATATTCTCCTCTGTGAACTACACCCCCGTGAAGTACAATGACTATGTGTACCCTCCCTGGGCTGAGGCTATGGGTTGGATGATGTCAATATGTTCTATAATCATGTTGCCTATAGGGGCCATTGTTCAACTCTTCAGATATAACAGATGGTACCAGGTATGAAGAATGATATTTTCATTCATTTTTTTTGTAATTTGAAATAAACATTTTGTATCTAGTTGTGTGTGGGTGGGTGTGAATGCATATTTGTTATAAAAGGGTTTATTATTAGTTATATGAGTATATTAGTACTAACTAAATAATCATTACAGAAAATAAATCAGGTTTTTGGGGTGTAGCTCTTTTATCACTTGTTTATTAATCAGTCCTATTAAAAGATATTAACAATCTTCTTTTCAGACCTCCTCCTTCTGGGAGCTTCTTGGCATAACCAGCATTCCAACAGAGGACTGGGGCCCTGCTTCCCTCAGAAATCAAAAGAACCCCACCACCTCAGACATTACAAAACAAACAGACATGGGTAACAGTACCCAATCCATCTCTTCAAAAGCCAGCACCATGTATGAGAGTCACATGTGAAGTATAAGCTGACATCCAATTTTAACAATGTCTTTTTTTCGGATGGTATGGATATTGACTCATTTGAGATAGTGGTGCATGCGTTTAATGTACTTTGTCTGAATAATCTCAACATGACTACATATGCACTTGTTATGCAACATTGTCTTTGAGAAATTGGCAACAAAGCATTACATTAAATATTTATCAGCATATTAGGAAGTTTTTAACTTAGTATTTATTCTTACATAACATGCTTTGGTTTGTTTTGCTATATTATGTGAGGACTGGTAAGCACACATTTTGTCCTTTTGTAAAGTTGGGCAGTGACAACCATTTTAGACGGAACATTTTACTCAGATAATGTAATTGAATCAAAGATACATTATATTGTGGTTGTGCAGACATTGCTGTACCCAAGAAGTAAAAGACTTTCTGGGCAAGGTGCATATTTCATTTTTCTTGGTGGGTAGATCAAGTCAAAGTTTCAAATTTCGTTTTTAAAGTCTCACAAGTAGCAAAGAATAGGCCAGCAGTATGGTGCATAATTATAGACAATGTATTTTAAAAAGAGTATAAAGAAACATATCTAATGCAATTGATACTTTTGTGATATTCAGAATTTTATTTAAAAATTCATTAAAAGCAACTACAGTGAATAATTTTAGATCTTTTGTATCTGGGTTTGTTGACTCAGGCAAATGTTTAGGTTAAATTATCTCTCTTTACTGAATCTCTGTGTATTTTGCTTCTAACTGCATAATTATGAAATGTGTATATATTGAAAAATCTTCAAAAATCATGAAATGGGTTATAATTATATTTTAAACATTACTGTTACTCAAGTGTAAGCAATATTTAAAGAAACGGGTAACTTTTATATTACATCTTGCAAATTAATGTCCAGACTTGCCTTTTTACATCAATAATGTCAAAAGATTTTAATAGTAAATAAAAATCAAGTGATGAGTATCCATTTCTCATTTGTTATTTTTGAATGTTTCCCCCCCCCCCCAAGTATAACTGATTACCACAATATTTCCATTACGTCACATTTTAGTACTTTTATCAATCACTTCAGGCCATTTTGATTCCCAATTGGGTTTGGCATAAATATCAATCGGCATATATATTTTTTGTCATTTGATCTTGTGAACGAATCTCAGGTATTATGGATGGATGTTACTGTTTCGTCCAATACAAGAAAAGACAATGCTGTTGGGTAACACACTTGACCTGGAATAATCTTTACATCATATGTTTATTGAGTTCTATGGCAATTAGCAAACGTAACTGACTATTATATCGAATGTGAGAAGTTTCTAACATAAACGGCAGGTAATATGAACCCTTGGCACTTTCTGTGTCTGACTCAGTCTAGAATTTTCAAGTTATATTAAAATTCTGTAATAGTCATTTATGACATAATTAACTTATTGTATTATTACTGCATGCTTTGTTCTATCCGGTTTCTTGTATTCTGCCTATGTGTTACTGTAGGTGTTAAGCAGCATATTAAAACCTGACAGAAATTCCCTCAGAAAACCATCCCTTGTTTAACACAACTTGATATTACTTCATCACACAAGGAAAGTCAAATGTCTGAGAGTCTCTTTGAGACCATTTGAGACAGCACGTCACTTCAAAGGCTCTGACACAATCAAGGGGAGGATGTCATGAACATCATGTCACCAAGAAAACCTTGGTGATTTTATTTAAAAATTCATTAAAAGCAACTACGGTGAATGATTTTAGATCTTTTGTATCTGGGTTTGTTGACTCAGGCAAATGTTTAGGTTAAATTATCTCTCTTTACTGAATCTCTGTGTATTTTGCTTCTAACTGCATAATTATGAAATGTGTAGATATTGAAAAAATCTTCAAAAATCATGAAATGGGTTATAATTATATTTTAAATATTACTGTTACTCAAGTGTAAGCAATATTTAATAGAGAAACGGGTAACTTTTATATTACATCTTGCAAATTAATGTCCAGACTTGCCTTTTTACATCAATAATGTCAAAAGATTTTAATAGTAAATAAAAATCAAGTGATGAGTATCCATTTCTCATTTGTTATTTTTGAATGTCTTTTTGTAAATGTATAACTGATTACCACAATATTTCCATTACGTCACATTTTAGTACTTTGATCAATCACTTCAGGTCATTTCGATTCCCAATTGGGTTTGGCATAAATATCAATCGGCATATATTTTTTTTGTCATTTGATCTTGTGAACGAATCTTAGGTATTATGGATGGATGTTACTGTTTCGTCCAATAAAAGAAAAGACAATGCTGTTGGGTAACACGCTTGACCTGGAACAATCTTTACATTATGTATTTATTGAGTTCTATGGCAATTAGCAAACATAACTGACAATTATATTGAATGTGAGAATTTTCTAACCTAAATGGCAGGTAATATGAACCCTTGACAACTTTCCGTGTCTGATTCTGTCTAGAATTTTCAAGTTATATTAAAATTCTGTAATAATCATTTATGACATAATTAACTTATTGTATTATAACTACATATTTTGTTCTATCCAGTTTCTTGTATTCTGCCTATGTGTTACTGTATGTGTTAAGCAGCATATTTAAACTTGGCAGAAATTCCCTCAGAAAATCACCCCTTGTTTAAAACAACCTGAAATTACTTCATCATACAACAAATGTCAAATGTCTCTTTGAGAGCATTGTCACAGACAGCACGTTTCTTCAAGGGCTCTGACACAATCAAGTGGAAAAGTGGAGGATGTCATGAAAACCTTGACACAATCCAACAGATGGAGTGAAAGATCTCTCCTCCAACACAATCATGTTAGGAATATTGCACTTGACACAGCCTGTTCTACATTGCCTTTACCAATACAAACAGTGAAGGGACTCATGCTCATCACCAGACTTCTCCTACAAGCTCCCTGACTTTACTGAACCTGACTTTACCATGTTGCAGAAATCTTTCTGAAGTCACTGTTTTGGTTCTCCTCCTGCATCTTGTACTTTATCTGCTTGAGCTTGTAACAGTTTAATCCTCTTCCGCTGATAGTGTTGCCAGTGTAACAACTGCTGGTCATCTATAAACTTTGCACACTGGGCATTGACCAGTTCTTTGCGGAAATGTTCATACTGAAGTAACTCAAGAAAATGTAAACACTGTGGATACCTACAAATGAAATAAACATTAGATGAAAATTTTGATCAAAACTTTTTCAAGTATTGTCAAAGAATTTGAACAATAAATCAACACTTTCTTTGTCAAACTCGATTCTAAATAGATGAAACCTTGTCATAAATTTGATCAAGACTTTAATGTCTTTTTTTTTTAATTTTAGAAAACTAACAACATATAAAAAGTATTGCATCCATATTACCTGCTTCAAATAGATGATAACAGTAAAGATGAGAAACTTACTTTAAGTACTTAGCATAATCAGGTTCCTTCCAGTACAAGAGGTATTTCAGGTAATTCACAAACTTGGAATCTTTAAAGTAACCCCTCTGGGCAAGAACTATCACAAAAAGAGAAAAAAAAATTGTGACATTCAAAGGTATCATTTAGGCTTCATAGTATGTACCAAAGGATGCTTTGAACCATTTTTTCACCTTTTGCACTCCTTTTTAACATTTCTTATGCTTAGAGTTGTGTTAAAGAAAAATATATTAAAATGCCAATATAGCCAATAATTTGTTAGAAAATCCACTTTTATAAGTCATAGATGCCAAAATTATTGTCCTTACAATTCAAATAATTGGGATTGGACAGGCACTGCACAAATTCTAGCTCACACTGGAAACGAAGTCTTTGTTGTTCCTCTGTTTCTGAAAACAGATTAAAAACAATCAAAAGTATAAATACTTTTACTTTCGTATTAACTTTTACATACAAGGTATGGGCCTATATAATTATAGGTTTTAATCTATAAACATATACATTAAAAACTAAGTTTTAGAAATTCATATGTCAAATTTCAAATTTTATGTCACATAACTGAATTTAGAAAACAAATAGCACTCTAACTAATTTCTATTATAATTCTAAGGTAGGGGACTGTTAAGGTCNATTTATTGAGTTCTATGGCAATTACCAAACGTAACTGACTATTATATTGAATGTGAGAAGTTTCTAACATAAACGGCAGGTAATATGAACCCTTGGCACTTTCTGTGTCTGACTCAGTCTAGAATTTTCAAGTTATATTAAAATTCTGTAATAGTCATTTATGACATAATTAACTTATTGTATTATTACTGCATGCTTTGTTCTATCCGGTTTCTTGTATTCTGCCTATGTGTTACTGTAGGTGTTAAGCAGCATATTAAAACCTGACAGAAATTCCCTCAGAAAATCATCCCTTGTTTAACACAACTTGATATTACTTCATCACACAAGGAAAGTCAAATGTCTGAGAGTCTCTTTGAGACCATTTGAGACAGCACGTCACTTCAAAGGCTCTGACACAATCAAGGGGAGGATGTCATGAACATCATGTCACCAAGAAAACCTTGACACAATCCAATAGATGGAGTGTAAGACATCACCTCTAATGCAATCCTGTTAAGAATATTGCACCTGACACAGCCTGTTCTACACTGCCTTTACCAACCCAAACAGTGAAAGGACTCATGCTTGTCACCAGAATTCATGTGACTTCTCCTACAAGCTCCCAGTACACTGAACCTGACTTTACCACATGTCAGAAATCCTTTTAAGTCACTGTTTTGGTTCTCCTCCTGCATCTTGTACTTTATCTGCTTGAGCTTGTAACAGTTTAATCCTCTTCCTCTGATAGTGTTGCCAGTGTAACAGCTGCTGGTCATCTATAAACTTTGCACACTGGGCATTGACCAGTTCTTTGCGGAAATGTTCATACTGAAGTAGCTCAAGGAAATGTAAACACTGTGGATACCTACAAATGAAATAAGGATCAGATGAAATTTTTGATCAAAACTTTTTCAAGTACTGTCAAAGAATTTGAGCAATAAATCAACACTTTTTTAGTCAAACTCGATTCTAAATAGATGAAACCTTGTCATAAATTTGATCAAGACTTTAATGTCTTTTTTTTTAATTTTAGAAAACTAACAACATATAAAAAGTATTGCATCCATATTACCTGCTTCAAATAGATGATAACAGTAAAGATGAGAAACTTACTTTAAGTACTTAGCATAATCAGGCTCCTTCCAGTACAAGAGGTATTTCAGGTAATTCACAAACTTGGAATCTTTAAAGTAACCCCTCTGGGCAAGAACTATCACAAAAAGAAAAAAAATTGTGACATTCAAAGGTATCATTTAGGCTTCATAGTATGTCCCAAAGGATGCTTAGAACCATTTTTTCACCATTTGCACTCCTTTTTAACATTTCTTATGCTTAGGGTTGTGTTAAAGAAAAAATATTAAAATGCCAATATAGCCAATAATTTGTTAGAAAATCCACCTTTATAAGTCATAGATGCCAAAATTATTGTCCTTACAATTCAAATAATTGGGATTGGACAGGCACTGCACAAATTCTAGCTCACACTGGAAACGAAGTCTTTGTTGTTCCTCTGTTTCTGAAAACAGATTTAAAACAATCAAAAGTATAAATACATATGTACACACTTTTACTTTCGTATCAACATAATTATAGGTTTTAATCTATAAACATATACATTAAAAACTAAGGTTTTAGAAATTCATATGTCAAATTTCAAAATCTATGTCACATAACTGAATTTAGAAAACAAATAGCACTCTAACTAATTTCTATTATAATTCTAAGGTAGGGGACTCCTTTCTTTAAACGGGGCCGTAGCGATAGTCCGAAGGTTCAATAGTCCGAAGGTTCATTGGTCCGAATGTTCACTATAGAACCTTCGGACCAATGAACCCTTGATTAAAAAATCGATGAAAATGTTACCACTTTACGGACCAATGAACCTTCGGACCAATGAACCTTCGGACTATCGAGACGCCCCCCTTTAAACATTGGCGTTCAAGTCAACAGTTGTAAAGGACCAAACGATCAGGGATTGACGCTTAGGTTTCAGGCTAAATAATATGCAAAATCAAACTTTAGGTATAAATACATTTACCAACAGATACAGTACACCAATTTCTCTCAGACAGCTTTTAAATAACGTACCAACAACTGAAGCTTGTCCCCTTCCTGCAGCCATGCTTCATACACATTCTCAACCCGCACAAAACAAAATCGTTGTTTTTAATGATTATGATCAGATTAAAATAATTATCTACCAATGTCATTTAGTTCTTATATCCCCAAATATATTTACAATTTAACTGCTTTAATGTTTTTAATTTTTAACTTCTTGTTTCTCACCAACGTGAATATTCTGCGGAGCTAATAACATGGCCGCTTGCAGGGCGGACTAACGTGAATGTGACTAAGTAGGGCCCGATTTCTCTGAAATATGGCCGCACTTGATGTTGTTTCACCCAGCACATTCAAAGCATTGCAAAATCTTGACATTGAGTGTCTTGCTTACCTTAGTGAAAATGAACTGAGACCAATTTTACCGTGTTTAGTGCGGATGTCCCTATGCGCCCCCTCTGACAACGGTGAGAGATGGATGGAAAGCAAGAAGAGTTTACTTCGTATTTTGTCTGGGATCGAAGTCGTCAACAGCGTAGTGCAGTTGTTGTCAGTTGATTTCCACGAACTAGAAATAGATGCCAAAAAAGAGCAGCATTTAAGGTAATGTTTACAATGGAGTAAAAATACATTCATGCATACATGTACAACACCCACATACTACATTTATGTGAACATCCAAATTAACTTTTGGGTGATCCAGCTTTTCCATTTTAATTCTTGTCTATGATGTTCTCCATTTTAAAAATGGCATGATGGTGATTGGTATTACACAACCAGCACAATGTTTTGTGTTTCATTCTAATTTTGAATACATCGTAACATTTCTTCAATATCTGTTCAGGACCAAAGCTGGGAGTAGCCAGAGTGAGAGCATGCTGATTTCACAGCTCCAGAATAGTCTGTCCCTTGAGTTTGAGCGTGCTGATGCGCCAAGGAGGTTACGTCTTGTGCTAAGTGAAGTTTTATTTGTAGTGTCACAGGTATGTAGAGAAGTGAAGATATTTGAATATTAAGAATTTTTAAAAATAATATAAATAGAGGGATTGAGAGGGTGATCTATTGTTATTTACGGCTTGTCAATACTACACAGTAGGACAGTACAATTTTATTTATAAATGGAGGTCTTAATGTCTTTCTATTAATTTTTTATGCTGTATTTTATATTCCTCTTCCAAACATAATACATATTTTTTCAGATGAGAGAAACTAGAACTGAGTTCTACCATAAACCATCTGAGTTATTTGAATGTGATGTTTATTTAGAAGAAGTTGCAGATGTGATTTGCATTGCCCAAGCAGGTACATTGTTTCATCATAAAGAACATATATGAATACCAATTACAGTACCATTATATTGTCAGTAACCTTGGGAAAATAGAAGAGCTGTCCCATCATCAAAACTTTAAGCAATCTGAAATCCTGAAATGAAAACAACACTTTTTAGGTATTGGTTTTATAGAATTATTTCACTCCCATATTATCACAGTTAACAGGTTTGTATTTTTTATGATTTTTTTTTTCGCTTTTCAGAATTACCGAGACTTCTTCCAGTGACAGAGGTCGCTGAGGCCATGCTTCATGTTAAAAATGGACACTTGATATTATGCAGACTGGTAGCTAATTTACCAGAATCCTTTTCGGAAGGTAAAGAGATTTTGTCATCTGAACTGTGAGGTTGATTTGTCAAAAAATGACAGTGATAAAAATACTGTTATTTTCATCATGTTAAGCTAAATATTTGTAGTATAGCAAGGATAGCAAACCCCATTCATAAACAAAATACATTTGCATCAGAATATGAATCTTGTTTTAATGTTGTAACACAAGTAATTCTGTAATCAGTTCATTGCTACAGCAATGGGGTCAGCATGATCCACTTGTTGATATATAAAATGTGTTAGTCTTGAAAGAATGTTATGGGCTTATTTTTCATTGTAGTATGCAACAGCCTGATTTCCACTGGAGAGAAACAGGATGAAGATATGCTATCAGGGAGAAGGAGGATGCAAGCAATAAGAGCTCTCTGTAACATGAATCCTGAAGAAATTCTCAGTGTCAGAGCAATGTGTGTAAGTATAGCCATCTAGGTGGTGTCTTTTAGGTTTGGGGGTTCATAATGTTTTACATTGGCATTTGCTTGATCACTTGCAGCCTAGTTGTATGAAATGTATAGGTGTTGTCATTTGGAATTATGGAAATATATTAACAATGTATGTTATGAAACATATATAAGCTATTTATGGATAGTATATTACGACTTTTACCACATGTCAGATATATTGGAATTAAAATTGTAAAGCATGATTTAGAAGAAAAATATATAGTTGACTTGTGATTTGCCAGAAACCAAAGGATATATTGTAATCAACTGTTAAATAACTCCATTTAAAATATGTCTCTGTTGCTCATGCTGTGAATAAACAAATGGAATTTTAGAACATTAATGATAATCAAACATCCAACTATAAACATCCAAACATGAATACATGTTTCCATTTTAGCTGGAACATTGTAAGATGCCTGGTCTAGCTGTGGCCTTGACCCTGCTCCCTCAGACCACCAGCAGCCTGAGCAGTGGTGGGGGTGGGGCCACTAATGACCTTGTGTCATTTGTCAGTGGCATCCTGCTGGGCAATGACACCAATGTCAGGAGCTGGTTTGCACAGTTTGTGAAAAATGGACAAAAGGTGAAGCATTTTAATTATACAAGTAGAGTGCTGACTTGGGTTCAGAATCCAATAATATTTAGGTTGGGCTGACCCATTTTAGAAATGTCCACTGCAGTTTTTTTTAAAATAAGAATATATTCTTCCAAGGTACAAGCACAGACAATATTAATAAATGAAGTTTTCTGGTGATGGAATTGTCTCTATTCTTACTTTTTCAGCATTGTTTAAATCATGCTGAAGTTAACCAAGTCATTTATTTTTGATTAGAGAACAATACATGAAGGTGTTCAAATTACATCTAAAAATATTTATTATTCAGAGAAAGCGTGACCCCACTGGTTCTATGCTGCATGCCATGAGGCAGAAGTTACTGGAACAACTTGTCTCACTGATACCTGACAGTGGGGAAAGGTTCACAGAGGAGGCTGTGGTCCAGGCCAGTGGCTTCTTCAGGCTGTATGCTGCTTTGAAGGGAATAGCAGCCCTCAAGTGAGTCTTCTGTGATAAATGCTAATATTGTAAAGTAAAGCCTGTCCTTATACTGTATATGCCTTGGTAGGAAGTAAATTTGATACAAAACAGTGTGTGACTGTCACTTGATGTCATATATTAATGTTAATCATGTGTAAGCACTGGTACGTATCTGCTAATTATATATTGGTTTTAGGTTTAGTGAGGAAGAAGCTAAGCTCATCCTACGTCTGATAACATCCCATCCCCCTCATAATGCTGCAGGGGTAAGATTTGTGTCCTTGGCTATGAGTATGTTGATAGCCAGTCCATCTTTACTGGGGTAAGTCTTTGGTATATTGCAATGGATTGTATCAAAATTTGAAATTTAAGAAGCAGATTATTACTGTGTGCAGTAGAGAGTGGGAGATTCAGGGATATTGTTAAGATTTTATGGAGAATTATAATGAAATATCATGTTGCTCTTCCTACTGATAATTCAATAATGAAACAATTAGTTAAGTGTTGTTCTGAATCCTCAGTGTTTTTATCTGCAGTACTCCAGAACAAGAACGAATGGCAATAGATTGGATCAAGGGGCTTATTGATGAGGAAGAATCTTATGAAAGGTATGGGTATCTCTTTAAAAATTTTAAAATCCACCTTCTGCTCAAGTTTCAAAAAAAAAAAAAAAAACAACAACAAACAAAAAAAAACAAACAATTGACAGTTTTGTATGGTGACCACTCTCATTTGCTGGACAATAGATGATGCCATGATATAATTACATTCATCCTTCTTGTTGCGGGTGTCAGTCCAATTTTNTCCTTTCTTTAAACCTTGGTGTTCAAGTCAACAGTTGTAAAGGACCAAACGATCAGGGATTGACGCTTAGGTTTCAGGCTAAATAGTATGCAAAATCAAAATTTTAGGTATAAATACATTTACCAACAGATACAGTACACCAATTTCTCTCAGACAGCTTTAAAATAACGTACCAACAACTGAAGCTTGTCCCCTTCCTGCAGCCATGCTTCATACACATTCTCAACCCGCACAAAACAAAATCGTTGTTTTTAATGATTATGAGCAGATTAAAATAATTATCTACCAACGTCATTTAGTTCTTATATTCCCAAATATATTTACAGTTTAACTGCTTTATTGTTTTTAAATTTTAATTTCTTGTTTTTCACCAACGTGAATGTTCTGCGGAGCTAATAACATGGCCGCTTGCAGGCGGACTAACGTGAATGTGACTAAGTAAGGGCCGATTTCTGTGAAATATGGCCGCACTTGATGTTGTTTCACCCAGCACATTCAAAGCATTGCAAAATCTTGACATTGAGTGTCTTGCTTACCTTAGTGAAAATGAACTGAGACCAATTTTGCCGTGTTTAGTGCGGATGTCCCTTTGCGCCCCCTCTGACAACGGTGAGAGATGGATGGAGAGCAAGAAGAGTTTACTTCGTATTTTGTCTGGAATCGAAGTTGTCAACAGCGTAGTGCAGTTGTTGTCAGTTGATTTCCACGAACTAGAAATAGATGCCAAAAAAGAACAGCATTTAAGGTAATGATAACAATGGAGTAAAAAATACATTCATGCATTTATGTACAACACCCCATACAGAAGGAACATCCAAATTAACTTTTGAGTGATCCAGCTTTTCCATTTTGATTCTTGTCTATGATGTTCTCCATTTTAAACATGATATGATGGTGCTTGGTATTACACAACCAGCACAATGTTTTGTGTTTTATTCTAATTTTGAATATATCATAACATTTCTTCAATATCTGTTCAGGACCAAAGCTGGGAGTAGCCAGAGTGAGAGCATGCTGATTTCACAGCTCCAGAATAGTTTGTCCCTTGAATTTGAGCGTGCTGATGCGCCAAGGAGGTTACGTCTTGTGCTAAGTGAACTTCTATTTGTAGTGTCACAGGTATGTAGAGAAGTGAAGATATTTGTGAATATTAAGAGTTTAAAAAAATTATATAATTAAAGGGATTGAGAGGGTGATCTATTGTTATTTGTGGTTTGTCAATACTGCACAGTAGTACAGTACAGTTTTTTTATAAATGGAGGTCTTAATGTCTTTCTATTAATTTTTTATGCTATATTTTATATTCCTCTTCCAAACACAATATATATTTTTTCAGATGAGAGAAACTAGAACTGAGTTCTACCATAAACCATCTGAGTTATTTGAATGTGATGTTTATTTAGAAGAAGTTGCAGATGTGATTTGCATTGCCCAAGCAGGTACATTGTTTCATCATAAAGAACATAGATGAATACCAATTACAGTACCATTATATTGTCAGTAACCTTGGGAAAATGGAAGAGTCGTCCCATCATCATAACTTTAAGCAATCTGAAATCCTGAAATGAAAACAACACTGTTAAGTTATTGGTTTTATAGAATTATTTCACTCCCATATTATCACAGTTAACAAGTTTATATCTTTTATCATTTTTGTCACTTTTCAGAATTACCGAGACTTCTTCCAGTGACAGAGGTTGCTGAGGCCATGCTTCATGTTAAAAATGGGCACTTGATATTATGCAGACTGGTAGCTAATTTACCAGAATCCTTTTCGGAAGGTAAAGAGATTTTGTCATCTAAACTGTGAGGTTAATTTGTCAAAAAAATGACTGTGATAAAAATGCTGTTGTCTTCATCATGTTAAGCTAAATGTTTGTAGTATAGCAAGAGTACAAAACCCCATTCATAAACAAAATACATTGCATCAGAATATGAATCTTGTTTTAATGTTGTAACACAAGTAATGCCGTAATCAGTTCATTGCTACAGCAATGGGGTCAGCATGATCCACTTGTTGATATATAAAATGTGTTAGTCTTGAAAGAACGTTATGCGCTAATTTTTCATTGTAGTATGCAACAGCCTGATTTCCACTGGAGATAAACAGGATGAAGATGTGCTATCAGGGAGAAGGAGGATGCAAGCAATAAGAGCTCTCTGTAACATGAATCCTGAAGAAATTCTCAGCGTCAGAGCAATGTGTGTAAGTATAGCCATCTAGGTGGTGTCTTTTAGGGTTTGGGGTTCATAATGTTTTACATTGGCATTTGCTTAATCACTTGCAGCCTAGTTGTATGAAATGTAAAAGTGTTGTCATTTGGAATTATGGAAATATATTAACAATGTATGTTATGAAACATATATAAGCTATTTATGGATAGTATGTTACGACTTTTACCACATGTCAGATATACTGGAATTAAAATTGTAAAGCATGATTTAGAAGAAAAATATATAGTTGACTTGTGATTTGCCAGAAACCAAAGGATATATTGTAATCAACTGTTAAATAACTCCATTTAAAATATGTCTCTGTTGCTCATGCTGTGAATAAACAAATGGAATTTTAGAACATTAATGATAATCAAACATCCAACTATAAACATCCAAACATGAATACATGTTTCCATTTTAGCTGGAACATTGTAAGATGCCTGGTCTAGCTGTGGCCTTGACCTTGCTCCCTCAGACCACCAGCAGCCTGAGCAGTGGTGGTGGGGCCACTAATGACCTTGTGTCATTTGTCAGTGGTATCCTGCTGGGCAATGACACCAATGTCAGGAGCTGGTTTGCACAGTTTGTGAAAAATGGACAAAAGGTGAAGCATTTTAATTATACAAGTAGAGTGCTGACTTGGGTTCAGAATCCAATAATATTTAGGTTGGGCTGACCCATTTTAGAAATGTCCACTGCAGTTTTTTTTTAAATAAGAATATATTCTTCCAAGGTACAAGCACAGACAATATTAATAAATGAAGTTTTCTGGTGATGGAATTGTCTCTATTCTTACTTTTTCAGCATTGTTTAAATCATGCTGAAGTTAACCAAGTCATTTATTTTTGATTAGAGAACAATACATGAAGGTTTTCAAATTACATCTAAAAATATTTATTATTCAGAGAAAGCGTGACCCCACTGGTACTATGCTGCATGCAATGAGACAGAAGTTACTGGAACAACTGGTCTCACTGATACCTGACAGTGGGGATAGGTTCACAGAGGAGGCTGTGGTCCAGGCCAGTGGCTTCTTCAGGCTTTATGCTGCTTTGAAGGGAATAGCAGCACTCAAGTGAGTATTCTTTGAAAATGCTAGCAGAAAAATCCATTCAAACATCATTTTCGGATAAAATTAAACAATGCCTTTTGGTAATTCTCTTAGTTATACTACTTGAAACTATATGCTGGCATTTGGTCAGTTTTTGTGGCAACATACTGACTTTGTATGCATCTTTAAATGTTTCTGTAATATTATGGGTTATCAATGTTGAATACTGTATTAATTTTGCACTATTGCTTTAAGGTTTAGTGAGGAAGAAGCTAAGCTTATCCTACGTCTGATAACATCCCATCCCCCTCATAATGCCGCAGGTGTGAGATTTGTGTCCCTGGCAATGAGCATGCTGATAGCCAGTCCATCTTTATTGGGGTAAGTCTTTGGTATATTGCAAGTGAACTCTAACAAGAATTGAAAATTAAGAAACTGATTATTACTGGGTGCAGAGGAGAGGGGGTGGGTCCAGGTTTTGTCAAGTCAAGATTTTGTAGAGAATTATAATGGAAATTGATGTTGTTCTTTATACTGGAAATTTGATGATGAAACACTTAATATAACTGTTGTTCTGAATCTTCAATGTTTTTCATCTGTAGTACTCCAGAACAAGAACGAATGGCAATAGATTGGATCAAGGGGCTTATTGATGAGGAAGAATCCTATGAAAGGTATGGGTATCTCTATGAAAATTTTAAAATGCACCTTCTGCTCAAGTTTCAGAAAACAATTGACAGTTTTGTATAGTGACCACTCTCATTTGCTGGACAATAGATTGGTTGATTTTATGTGGCTTGTCATGATATGATTACATTCATCCTTATAATTACATTCATCCTTAAATCCACATTTTAGTTGATATTATTTTAATTACTTTGATTGTTTCTTTCTTTAGGAAAGTTAGTGGGACTGCATCATTTGGTGAATTGTTGCTGTTGATAGCCATTCACTTCCACAGTTTCCAGACCAACTCCATAGCAGATCTTGTCTGCTCTACACTGGGCATGAAGGTGGGCATTTGTAGGCTATAACAAGTCTCTTTTGACATAATTACTAATGTGGAACTATAACCTTTCAAAGACTATTAATTTTTTAAAACATTTTTGAAATTTATCTTTTGGGATATGAGACATTCAACTTCAACTTGAAGGAAATTGATTATATTACTGATTTGAATACTTTTAAGCAATTCATTTTTCATTTGCAGCTGTCAGTCAAAGCCAACTCTTTGGCCAGATTAAAGACCATTTTTACACAAGAAATCTTCACAGAGAAGGTAACGAGACTGATATTTTATATAAAAAATTATTTATTGGTACATTGCACTTACAAAATGTATCATCCTGCTTCCTTAATTAAGTTTATAACTCCATATTTAACAAATTCTTTTTTGACTTGCTATTTTTCAAATTCTTTCATCCTTAAGTTCAATACCAATATACAAATCAGTGTATTTTACATCTCTTTTATAAATAATCACAACATTTGTAATTACAGGTTGTTGCTGCCCATGCCATCCGTGTCCCTGTAACCCCCTGTCTTAGTGCCTCCATACCTGGCTTTCTGCCTGTGCACTGTATATCACAGCTGTTGAAAAGCAGGGCCTTTTCCAAGCACAAAGTACCAATAAGGGTAAGTTGCTGAAGAGATTGTCATCTTTGCCTCAATCCTGTTCTAATGGGATTTCTCTGTAAGTCCATTGCCCTGTTAGACAGGGTTTCAGGGTATGTTTGCAACAAATAAGAACATTTTCATTTCCAGAGCTATTTTGGGCATTTTCCTATGGTATTTAGGTTAGGTGCTGTGATTTTTATAAGAGTGGTGCTTCAGCTGAGAAGAACATTGTAAAATGTGCCATACGTAACAGATATTAATTGAAAGTAAAGATTTTTTTTTGGTTTTCAGAAATAATTATTTTCAGATCATGTGCAAAAATAATAAAAAAAATATTTTGGTATCACCAAAAGTTTAAATAGTGTGAAAATTTTTCACAGGGTTGGATATACAAGCAGATCTGTAGTTGCAGCACACCCATACACCCACTGATGCCCCCTCTGGTGGACGCCTACGTCAACTCCATCATCACTCCAGCCAGCAAGACTGACCATACCAACAAACCTTTCTCAGAGGAGGAAGTGCTTGCTGTATTTGTGAACAGTGACCAGAAGAATGACCAGTCCGAGATGGACTGTAGAGTGACCAAAACTTCTCTACCTGTGCAGTTGCTGATGACTTACTATGTGATGTTGTATCAGGACAGTCTGTTATCTAATATGAAAGCAATAGGTATGTGAAGTACTAAAAAGTAGGGGTGGGGGTTTTAACCTGGAAGATTCTTACCAAATTAAAAACAGAATTAAATTGATGATTATGTGGCAAAAAAAATGAAAAAAGAGTTTTTTTCACATTTTACTTAACCAAATTGGAACATGTCTATCCATGACTAAACTATACCACAAAATGCTTAGTTTTATAGCGGGTTTGAAGTTCATGTAAATAACCATGTCTCAAAAAGGAACATGCTTGGAACTATATCTGTTATCTTATTCTACAGTTGAACTAGCATACATTTTGATTAAAAAAAATTAATATGGATATTTCAGCACAGTCTTTGGTGCTTGTGTTTGTATTAAAAAGCCATTTTTCATCACTGATATTACTTAGTTATTAGTTGTATTCTGTCAAACGTAGTGTTTGCGCTGTATTTCAGTGACATCAAAGAGAGATATTGTGCAGTATTCCCAGCATGTAGTAGCCAAAATTCCTATCAAATATTTACTACAGCAAGCACAAAAGGAGCAGCAGCAGTTTGCAGGGCTTTTTGCCCCTCTTCTCAAGTAAGCAGGATAAATTTTGAATCCAATGTTTGGGAGTGCCACTCCTTTGAGACCTACAACTCTCTTTGTACACTCACCGATCTGCTATTATTTGTTTTTACCTGCAAACACACCAGCGTCCTTAGATACAGAGCCAAGTTTTTGCCATGTTACTCAGAAAAACATTGATCAAACACAATGACAACTTAATGTTGATGTAAAGTAAAAAAAAAACACCAGAAATTCTTATGAAAACCTATCACTCATAATCGTTCTCTATATGTGTATCCTAATGTCAGATGAATCATTTAATTTGTTTCACTTCTGCATTTTCTTCTTCTAGGTTGATAGCAACAAATTACCCACACTTGTGTCTAGTTGAAGACTGGCTACAGGAAGAAATGATGTCAGTTTCACCACTTCCAAATCATGGTATACCTGTAGCCAAAACCACTGTGGAGAGCATGCAAAAAGGTTGGTGCATGTCATCATCTAGATGCTTCATTTGGAAGCTTAAATGAACTGACACAATATAGTAAAGTGTATAAATTTAAATGTTATTTCCATAACCATAGGATTCAGAAAATTACTGTATTTATATTTTTTGTTAGCACTTAACATGGACGCTGGTCACTGTTATTTATTATTTTTTTCCCAAATTGTGAAAACGGTTTAGTTCTGCATATGAAGTGGCACCAATGAAGGGGTCAATGGAAAGAGTCCTCATTCCTCAGCTCCAGAATAAGGTCAAAAACCTGACCATTGAATTTATTCTTCAAGACCCTAATTGTTGACATTTGTTATTCACTTAGGTTTTGCCCAGGTTAAAGAGTGCCCATCTGTTTTGATAATGCAACTAGAACATCTTCTCACACTGCCTGTGAAGAGCATCCTCCCTTNTTACACTTCTTAAGTTGATATTGATCTAATTACTCTGATTGTTCCTTTCTCTAGGAAAGTTAGTGGGACTGCATCATTTGGTGAATTGTTGCTGTTGATAGCCATTCACTTCCACAGTTTCCAGACCAACTCTATAGCAGATCTTGTCTGCTCTACACTGGGCATGAAGGTGGGCATTTTTGGACTATAACAAGTCTCTTCTGACATAATTACTAATGTGAAACTATAACCTTTCAAAGACTATTAATTTTTTAAAACATCTTTGAAATTTATCTTTTTGGGGATATGAGAAGATCAACTTCAACTTAATGGAAATGGGGTATATTAATGTTGAATAGATATAAAGACTTTCATTTTCCATTTGCAGCTGTCAGTCAAAGCTAACTCTTTGGCCAGATTAAAGACCATTTTTACACAAGAAATCTTCACAGAGAAGGTAATGAGACTGATATTTTATAGTATTGGTACATAGCACTTACAAAATGTATCTCCTGCTTCCTTAATTAAGTTTATAACTCCACATTAACAAAGGCTTTTTTTACTTGCTATTTTTCAGATTCATTCTTAAGTTCAGTGCCAATATACAAGCCACTAGTTTTAGTAAGAAAGTATTTTGTATATCTTTTATAAATAATCGCAACATTTGTTATTACAGGTTGTTGCTGCCCATGCCATCCGTGTCCCTGTCACCCCCTGTCTTAGTGCCTCCATTCCTGGTTTTCTTCCTGTGCACTGTATATCACAGCTGTTGAAAAGCAGAGCCTTTTCCAAGCACAAAGTACCAATTAGGGTAAGTTGCTGAAAATATTGTCATCTTTGCCTCAATCCTGTTCTAATGGGATTTCTCTGTAACTCCATTGCCATGTTAGACAGGGTTTCTGGGTAAGTTTTCAACAAATGTGAACATTGTCATTTTCAGAGCTATTTTGGGTATTTTCTTATGGTATTTAGGTTAGGTGCTGTGATTTTTATAAGAGTTGTGCATCAGCTGAGAAGAACATTGTAAAATGTGCCATACGTAACAGATATTAATTGAAAGTAAAGATTTTTTTTTTGGTTTTCAGAGATAATTATTTTCAGATCATGTGCAAAAATAATAAAAAAAAATATTTTGGTATCACCAAAAGTTTAAATAGTGTGAAAATTTTTTACAGGGTTGGATCTACAAGCAGATCTGTAGTTGCAGCACACCCATACACCCACTGATGCCCCCTCTGGTGGATGCCTACGTCAACTCCATCATCACTCCAGCCAGCAAGACAGACCATACCAACAAACCTTTCTCAGAGGAGGAAGTGCTGGCTGTATTTGTGAACAGTGACCAGAAGAATGACCAGTCCGAGATGGACTGTAGAGTGACCAAAACTTCTCTACCTGTGCAGTTGCTGATGACTTACTATGTGATGTTGTATCAGGACAGTCTGTTATCTAATATGAAAGCAATAGGTATGTGAAGTGCTAAAAAGTAGGGGTGGGGGTTTTAACCTGGAAGATTCTTACCAAATTAAAAACAGAATTAAATTGATGATTATATGGCAAAAAAAAAAATTAAAAAAGAGTTTTTTTTCACATTTTACTTGACCAAATTGGAACATGTCTATCTGTGACTAAACTATACCACAAAATGCTTAGTTTTATAGTGGGTTTGAAGTTCTTGTAAAAAAACATGTCTCAAAAAGGAACATGCTTGGTACTATATCTGTTATCTTATTCTACAGTTGAACTAGCATACTTTTTAATTAAAAAAAATTAATATGGATATTTCAGCACAGTCTTTGGTGCTTGTGTTAGTTGTTTGTTTTAAAAAGACATTTTTCATCACTGATTTTACTTAGTTATTAGTTGTATTCTGTCAAACGTAGTGTTTGTGCTGTATTTTAGTGACATCAAAGAGAGATATTGTGCAGTATTCCCAGCATGCAGTAGCCAAAATTCCTATCAAATATTTACTACAGCAAGCACAAAAGGAACAGCAGCAGTTTGCAGGGCTTTTTGCCCCTCTTCTCAAGTAAGCAGGATAAATTTTGAATTCAGTGTTTGCAAGTGCCATTGTTTGAAACCTATAACTTTCTATGTACTTAAACTGATGTATCTGTTATAATTTCTTCTTCCTTGCAAACACATCAGCCTCCTCAGATACAGATCCAAGTTATATTACTCAGGTACACATCGGTCAAGTGACATGCATCTTTTTGTTCGTGTAGAGTGAAAAATAAATGAAAAGTCTTATGAATACCTAACACTCATAATCATGTCCTATATGTGTAATTATCCTAATGTCAGATAAATCAGTTCATCTGTGGCATTTCTTCTTTTTCCCCTCTAGGTTGATAGCAACAAATTACCCACACTTGTGTCTAGTTGAAGATTGGCTACAGGAAGAAATGATGTCAGTTTCACCACTTCCAAATCATGGTATACCTGTAGCCAAAACCACTGTTGACAGTTTACAAAAAGGTTGGTGCACATCATCGTTTAGATTCTTCAGTTTGCAGCTTATATGCATTGACACAGCATAGTGGAAGGTATAAATAAGGATGGTTTTTTGCAATACCATAGAATTTAGAATGTTATTGTATTTTCATTTTTGTGTAAGCATTAAACATGGACATTGGTCAGTGGCACTCATTTATTTAATTATGAAATTTTCCAAAATGTGAGAACAGTTTGGTTCTGCCTGTGAAGTGGCACCAATGTGTGGGAGAGGGGTCAATGGAAAGAGTCCTCCTTCCACACACCCCACCCCCAGCTACAGGATTAGGTTAAAAACCTGACCATTGAATTTATTCTTCAAGGCCCTAATTGTTGAAATTTGTTATTCACTTAGGTTTTGCCCAGGTTAAAGAGTGCCCATCTGTTTTGATAATGCAACTAGAACATCTTCTCACACTGCCTGTGAAGAGCATCCTCCCATTTGCTGAGTGTATTGTTGGAAGTTTAGCAGTACTGCTGGAGGATGGTACATCACGAAGGGTGTTAGAACTGGTACATAGAATATGGGTTCAGCTGAATATGTTAGCACCACGGAGGTAAGTGATGCAAATCTGTTGCGATTTCAAGCAGCCATTTATAAGTCCTTGCTGTAAATGTATCTTTATTGCCTTAAATCTTTAAAAAATGACTGCATATGTGTTGTTTTAGAGATGGAGTTCCAATGTATTTCAGGTTTGGGAGATAAAAATGTTTGATTAATATGAAGTATGATTATCTTAAAAAAACGTAAAAGTTGCACTGTCTAACTTGTGCATTTTCTTTTCTAGACTGGGTATTTTGACAGTGAATGCCTTGAGACCCCATCATCAGGCTGCTTTCAAAGAACAGCCATATACCCAGGACAATGTGACAGTAGACCCCCTCATTGTACTCAGGTGTGATCAGAGGGTGTTTAGGTAATTCATCACATTCTAAACCTAAACTCAGACCAAAAACTTTCAAATTTGACTTTTTGTGGAATGGACCCAGATCAACAGATCTTCCTAACTCTTATACTACAAACAAATACTGTTTTGATAAACATTTTCATACTCTTCTCCAATCAGCAGAAATTAGTTTTGAATTTTGTTTACATAATCATGATTTCACTACCATTCGGCTCCAGATGCCCTCAGATATTTGGCACAGTATTGTTCACATAACCATGATTTTCCTACCATTTGACCCCAGATGCCCCCCACCCCCCACCCCATATTTTACCTGGTATTGTTAAAATAATCACGATTTTCCTACCATTTGACCCCAGATGCCCCCCACCCCATATTTTACCTGGTATTGTTAAAATAATCATGATTTTCCTACCATTTGACTCCAGATGCCCCCCACCCCATATTTTACCTGGTATTGTTAAAATAATCATGATTTTCCTACCATTTGACTCCAGATGCCCTCCTATATTTGACCTAGTATTGAGGGTCCTCTCAGCCTTCCTGCAGGCGTCCAGGAGGTACCTGTCCCAGCACATCCAAGCCAACCCTAAGCTGGACAAGGGAACACCAGTACCCAATGACTTTGAGAGGGAGGAACTGAAAGGAGCTTTAATAGCTGCCCAGGAGTCGGCTGCCGTCCAGATCTTGCTGGAGTGTTGCCTGCCCAGGGATGCAGAAAAAGTAGGGAATTTCATATTAAATCTTAATTATTGTTTGAGAAATTGTATATTATATTAGATACTTTTTATCAGCTGTTGAATAAAGTACTTGCAGGTGTATTTATAAGCCTATGCACAGTAATTGAATAGTCAGTGAAGAAAGCCAGACTTTATTTATTTCAGTCGTTTGTTGCTTACTGTTCATGAAACATTTTTTTTTGTTTGTTTCAGGCAAAAGGCAGTTTGTTGAGCAAGCAGAGAGAAATCCAGTGTCTTGTATGCTCTCATCTACATCAAATGTTCATAGCAGACCCCAATCTGGCCAAACTGGTGCATTTTCAGGTATATTCTCAGTAAACTGAACAACCTATGACATTGTGGTCACAATTTTGCCACTGTCATGTAAATAATTGTCTATAAACTTGGAAAGTCACAACCTTTAAAGATTGAGGATACCTAAATAAAGCACTGAGAGAGAGAGAGAGAGAGAGATTCACCACTTATGCAAGAAATAAAACCCATATTAGTGTAAAAATATTATATCAGATTGACTAAGTTGGTGGAGATATTACTCATATTTTATATGCATTCCTCTTGTATTTTACACGTTTCTTGTTATCAGGGTTACCCAAGTGAACTGTTGCCAGTGACAGTGGCTGGAATCCCCTCAATGCATATTTGCTTGGACTTTATCCCAGAGTTAATCAGTCAACCACAGATAGAAAAACAGGTCTTTAATATTTGATTAATTTTTTAATGCAAAATAATAATAATAATGTAGAATAAACAAATAATACACAGAAATTCATACAACTGTGATATAATAATGATGAAATCTCATTTTGCCAGACGCAAACAGATATCATCATTTTGTCATCATTTTCTTAAGTACTAACAAAATGATAATATCTTATTTTGTTGGTACCTATTAAGGTTATGCTGTACTCACACATACATTTTGTTTCAGGTGTTTGCAATAGAACTGGTTTCCTACCTCAGTATGCAGTATGCTTTACCCAAGTCCCTGGGTATTGCCAAGTTAGCGGTGAATGTAATGCTCACTTTACTTGGAGGTAAGTGATGTGCCTGGTTGTTTACGTCCATTAAAAGCAGATGCTCAGCTGATATATATTATCATTAAATTTAATGATATGCTGGATGGATATGTCCAGTTCAAGTTGCTTCTTTTGGAATACGTTTTTAAGTTGACAGTTGAAGAAGCTTCTTTGTAGCATGGATACTACATAAATGCTTCATATCATACAGAGACTGATGGAATAATTCTGTGCATTTTAGAGGTCAGCCATGTCGCAATACATATTTAAGTCATGTAAATCTTTTGAAATTAGTCGCAAAACTGTTCATCTGTTATTTTTAGAAATAATGCAGCATCTTTGTGTACTTTTTCAGTTTTGCCCTGTGATGTAATCCCAGAATTCTTCCTGCCCACTCTCCCAGCCATGGTGAGAATCTGCCAGGCTTTCCCCCCTCTCCATGATGATGTTACAGCCCTGCTGCTGCAGCTGGGGAAAGTGGCCACGGCCAACCTCACTGCCTTCGATAATATTTCTACTGGTATGAAACAAATAAGTGACTTTTATAATAGTAGAAATCCTCTTTTGTCACATACTAATTGCAACCTTTGATTTTTATAATTTTTGTCAAAGGTCAAAAATTAAGATAATTTTGTATCTAAGAACATTATTTTCACAAACATGTTTTATACATTGTTTGTGATAATAGAGTAACAGGTATTTTGAATTGGTTTTAATAATTCTTGGAATGTTTGTATTTACCTTTGTTTCTTTTAGATATCAATCCAGTAATGAGAGATGATGAAGAAAAGAGTGAGAGGTCAAAAGACCATCTTAGCCTTATTAACAGGTATGGACTATTGAGCCAGCTGACCCAGAAAACTTTCAGTGAAATAGTGAACACTGCTGTTGTGACCAAAAACATCTACTGAGTTCTATTATGTGTGTTTAATCAAAATGCCAAGGTAGAATTTTTTTAAGAAGGGATGAATCAGAAAAATACAAAATCTGTGAATCTTCATTATACTCTTGTACTACAAGGAGATATGAACTACTATACAATTTTAGTACTGTTCAGTTGTCATCCAGATACTTTGAATGATAACTTTAAAATCCTAGGGAATGGTTGATATTAAGGGAATATCAATTTTTTTTTGTACATTTGTCATGTTAGTTTGAAGGGAAAGAATGTTTTTCCATATTTCTTATATTCATGTACATATGTATCTTTACATGAAAGTTTATTTTAGATAATAAAAGTAGTAAAACTTGAAAAACAATGCCAGTGAAATGCACAAAAGCAACTCTTTACTAGATAAGCCCATTTACAAAATACAAGTTGCCTAGATTGTTCATTTTTATAACCAATAAAAACAACATTTTGTATTTCAGCCACAATTTATTAAACAATAATGCCACATAGTTTATGTACAATAGTACAACAAGACATAGTGTAGAAAAAAAAACTATATATAAATCAAAATATCTGTATAGAATATACTAATTCTGAACAGTCACATTGACAAACCAAATAACAAAATGAAATAAAACTACAAGTAAGACATTTACCTTAACAAAATTTCATCATATATTTAAACATTAAATGGTCAGATAGATTTTTAAATGCAAAAATTTCAAAGCTGGATTAATGTCAACGTAAAATCATTCTACTGGAAAGAAATCCTTTGCAGTAAGCTTCAGATACACAAAGCACTTCACGAATAGCAAACAATTGGGTGTATAAGTCTTTAAACATGGCAACTTTATCAACAGGATACAAATACATTTGGAATATCATTGCTTTATAAAGCACATAAATAATAAATGTATCAAATTTCATGGGTCGGATATTTGGACTTCGTTTAAGTAAATCACTTTCCTTTACACATTGTCATCTCTTCATTTTGGCATTTAAGAAGCAATAGTTATATTATTTTGGGGACTAAAATTCTCAGTTATTTCAAGGTGTTCCTTTTTTCTTGGCATCGGCAGGAGCTGCTAAACCATCCACTTCTCGTTTATGGCCACTCTCAACCAGCCAGTCCTGGAGAAATATAGAGAAAAGACATTCATGCATGCCCAAAAAGCTTCTTTGAACAACATTCATATGTAAAAAAATTGTTATAGATCTTTTTTATTTTGATTGTTCTTGGTGAAAGTGGTGTTTTTGCATGTAATTTTTGCCAAAACCTGCTTTATATGCTCATTTTATCTTGAAAGGCTGAAGTCAAACCAGGGACAGATCTTTTTACTTCTAACTAAATGGTTTATTTGAACTGGTGGTTTAAATTAACAACCACCTTTTCTAGTTTACCTGAAAGTGTGTTTCTACCAGCTGCTGGAACTGTTTCCTTTGCTCTTTACTCAGCCCAGCTTCCTTCACAGTCTTCTGCCACAGGTCTATCTGCTTCTCCCGCTGACTGATGGCTTTTTTGTACTTGGGGGGGATTTCATATGGAATTGCCTTAGAAATGGAAGAAATTATGCAGTTACCTTCCATGCTAGGTTGATAATTTCAGAAAGGTTTTATATTTCACCAAAAAATATTTTGAGATAAATAATCAACTGAGTTTCAACATATAATTGCTGATATTTTCTCTTCATAAATATCTGTAACCAATTTTTATGCTTGACCAAAAAAAAATATCCAATTACGTCCTTTATACTTCATATCATAAATCAATTAATCAAACCCTTCAGTGAACTAATTAACCCTTATAAGAATATTCATAAAAACTCCCAATCACCTTGGTATTCCCTTGCATTTCAAATGGAATGTTGAAGGTGTAGAAATCTGCAGGTGGCATGAGTTCCCAGACTGGATGGTCTTCATGGTGGTCAGGACCTGGTGTGAACATAAGGAAAGGTCAGTTTTAAGATATGAGCACTTCTGAAATATGACTGAAAAATGAGGGTCGATTCCAAATTGTATCATCCACAAGGTCAGTCATATATTATCACAGTAATATGTGGCATTAACTATGATATTTTCGGTAAATAACCATAGCCATTCATAAAATGAGGAATGTTCTGTTCTTAATCACATAATTTTTCTTTTCTTTTTTCATAAGCCAGATGAACAAACAAAATTAAACAATGATAAAAGTTCAAGAGGTCACACTTCAAGTCAAAAACAATTTAAAAGATAAAGAACTGCACATGTAACCCACTTCGATATTTTCAAAAAGTCATCATATTCATAGAAATGGAGAATTTCAAATGCTGTACATATTTCAAATAGTTTTTCAAAAAATAATAAATAAAAAACATAAAAGCAAATAAACAAGCTCAAACCACATCTTAATTTTGAAGAAAAGATATCACTATGTCTGACATTCGTCCTACCTGGCCTTGACCTCTTAATTGGTGCTTAACAAAATGGATGCACATTTCAAAAAAATATGTTAACAGAACAAGTATCTTAAAACCTAAAACGTGATACATCTAATTTATAACTGTTAGTCAAAGCATGCATTGCAACATATTTTCACCATGACAACAAATAAATAATTGTTAAGTGGTTTCAAGTGCATTAATAGACTTACAAATAATATGTCATGGGGTAAATTTCACAATTAAAGTTTTCCTGGAAGCCACTGGTGCTTAGAAAAAAAAAGGACGGTTCTCAATAAAATTGAAAACATTTAACCCGTAATTGTTATCACTTTCGTCATACTAACCTACGCAGAAAGGCTGATCCCAGACATTAGGTACTGATGGCAGGCCCACTGTAGCCATGTGGTCTTCCAGCTTGGCATAGTGGGTATGGTAGGGGGCCAAGATTAGGCTGTCATTGCCCCCTAATATCAGGGGTCTTGTGGGGGTCAGGAGGTGGAATGTACACAATGTACTGTTACTGGAAGTACAAGTAAAGTTTGCTTGTCATTTATTTCATGAGTTGTAAAGATTTACTGAGAACCAATGGGAATCAAGTTTGAATTTTAACAAAACAAACCAAAATGATATACTCATATTCTTCAGGCTATACAAAACATTATTTAGCTCCATGGTGCTGAAATGAAGAAAGCGTATGACATACTGATGAACCACCTAGTAGTAGTAGTAGTAGCAGTAGTAGTACATAAAACAGGGATATTATCATTCATGTGAATATATAGAGTCTGTGTTGATTGAATGGATTTCCCTACCTGACACTGAAGCGCCTGCATGCTCCTATGACTGTGACCTGTTCACAAGCATTGACGTGAACCACTGTGTCCACAGCACCCAGGATGATGGTGGAGTTACGACACTTTTCAATACTCACAGACCTGAAATAGTGGCAAAAACAGATAAATCTTTAATCGAAGAGATTATTTGTCATTAATTCACTAGTTGATAACTGTGCTCTCAAAGTGTTAATGTGTCTGCTAATTTCTACATTTAAATAAATATTTGTGCATTTAGGTATGGACTCTTTGTAGTGATGTTTTTAGGTATTAATATTCTACAAAGAGACAAAAGGTACTTTACCTAATAGGGGACAATAAATATAAATAGGCAAAATGACACCTATGAACTTTGACTGTAGCCATCTCTAGAGTACCAGAACTCTGAAAAAAAGTTATACAGTACTAAGTTAAGGTTGTTATTTAATATACACTCCAAACAGTACTAATGACAATAAGTACATATCATATTCCATATACTTAATAGCCAAGGCTGAAAATGTGTGTTTGTACATCCATATCTTTCAAATTACTGAATGCAATAACTTTTTCATTGGTGTATTCACAGAATGTTGAAAGTGTCAAGTACCAATTATGGCTTCTTCAACAAAATAATTTACTTTCTATTATCTTCAGTTATAATATACCCTTAACATCTGTAAATCTAAAATACTCCATACCTACCCGTGAGATTGTCTGCTTGCAGACTTGAGACATAATTATAACTTTGTTGCTAAAATAAAAAAATTCAAATTGATGAAAATTCATTAAAATTTTCAAATCTGATCATAGGTATGATTATGAATATATAGAATGACTTATTTTACTGTATCAGATCAATATTGAAAGGATTTCAAACAATGAAAAAAAATTATCAAAATTCTAGCAATCAACGCAGTAAATAATACAACTTCTCTACAAAAGCTCTGTTATTTGTCATCATACCCCATGATATGTTCCCTTGGGACCAGGTGGGCATTTGTGGCTATCTTTCCTCTCTTGCCCAAGTTTTCCCCTTTACTTTCCTTGTCCTCAGCTGGCAAGTATGGAAAATGTCCGGAAAATATCATAAATACATGCAAACTCTATAGCCTGCCATGACAATGTTAATATTTACTTAGTCTGACAAGGTAAAATAAATGAAAAAAAAATCCAACATGTACATGTAAAAACAAGGCATACATGTTATTAAACTACACAAAACTAACCATATAGTCATATTTCCCATAAGAAATGATTACAACACTGAAATCTTCACCACAGATATGCCCTCATGCAAAATGATCTACTAGTCTTTCAAACACCTTAAAATGAAATGAAAGTAAAACCTCCCAGTCAGAAACTGAAGATAAACATCACCCAGTGTAAACCCTAATAAGTGCACGTAGGTGGTCATCTTTACTTTCAAAATGAGATATGAGATAAGCTGTGGAACTAGACAATAGCATATAATGTTAAGTTTAAAGCAAGCACAGCAGTCCTATACCTGCCATTGGCCATGAAAGTCTCCTTCCAGTGGCAATACATGACCCAATACCAAAGGGATTGGTTGTTAAGGTTGCCCGCAACCAAGACTGGAGCATTCTAAAGGAAAACGTCCCAGTGATCTGAAATAACCAGACATGCATATGCTAGCTATAGTCTATTGGTCTTAACTTTAAAAACAAAAAATTAAGTCTATTTTGAATCACGATAAATCAGAAGTTGTCAATTCAAACAAGGGCATTTGGGGTGTTTCACAAAGAGTGAGAATGGACAATGCTTGAGACTGCTACATTTCATAGGACTACAACAGATGCCATAAACATTTTATCAGTGATGCCCCAAAAAGAAAATTCAGATTTTCTGAAAAGCAGGTTTAGTTCTTGCCACAGAGTATGTTTAAGTGAAGCATTAACAATTATGAACCTTGAAAAAAAATTGATATCCAAATATGTGAGGCATTTGTAATCATTCTTGAGTTAATTCTATTTATTAACACCCTTTCCCATCTAACTATAACATACAGTATCTCCACTGCAGTTGTGTATTAAACACCATATCCCCAGCCTGTCACACATCCTATCATGCCAGATTTATTTTTACCTTTGAGAATCCACTCTTAGCTTTCACAGCCTGTGGTGTTAGTGCCAGTTCATGTATTGGTGTCACAGCCCTGGGGAAAAGAAAGACGTGATGAACCTTAACACATTCAATGTACAGTGTATTATGTAGAAATATGCCAATAAAGCAACAAGTTTGAATGCTGCCAGGTGTAATTATTAAATGTGAAGTATCAACTGAAAATTTAATGAAGGGTGGGTTTAAGAGACACCTACTTGCTTCTGTCAATAGACCCTGCAATGATGAAACTGAGTGCCTCCACTGCCTCCATACTGAGATTCACATCACTGCCTGCAGTACCATATGCATCTGAAAGTAATATTTTTTTTCTTCAAAATTATTCTTAATAATGCATAATTATTAATAACAGGATACTACAGTACTTCAGAGCACAGCAATTTATTCAGATTGGGCTTTTAAGAAAGATATCAAAGCTGTTGAATAAATACAAAATGTAACTTGTAAGTTTTAACTTTTAAAAAATTGAACAGTCAATACTATTTAGCAAATAACCTGCACATCAAAAGTACTAATGACTCATTTTAGATGGACGTGCTGTTCACCTTCTACATACCTGGCTCAATAAGTAATTCCATTAATTCATTCAGGTGGTTTAACACAAAGGTCAGGTGACTGTGTTCATCCAGTGCCTTTAAGAGAAAAACTTTGGAAGTACAAACATTGTGTGATGACTAAACTATTTTCATGTATATATTAAATAATAAGTTAAAATATCTATACACTTTGTTATGGAAAGTGCCTTTGTTATGGAAAGATCTCTTTTCATAAATCTACTACACTATACTTAGTAAAAAAGAAAAAAAAACATGAAACAAAGTAAGGGTCTATATGAATGTTAAAGGAACAGGTCAGGAATTCAGCACCTGAAAAGGTGACAAGAAATCTATCCCATGTTTTTACCACACAAATTAGCTGATGCCTAAAAGTGACTTTTGACAAACAGCACTCCTTGTGATGGCATTTGAAATTTGTTTTGTTTTTTACACACCAAGTTTTAATTAGAACTCTGTTCTAGTTCTTGACAAAAACCTCATCAGAAGTCCTACCTTAGATGAAGATGGTGTTGACCTGCCCTCTAGCTCTGGGGATCTTGATCTACTTGGCCATCTTTGGAACTAGAGTTAAGACTTTTTAAACATTAAAACAAATATAATCATATATGTTAAACATTTTTTTGACAGCTTAGCACTTAAAAGTATCAATATCTATTAATAAACATATCATAAAATTTAAATTTTAATTGTGCATATACCTGTTCCAAAGTAACCATTTACAAATCGAGGCAACACAAGATTTAACAGATCAGACTGATGAATGAAAAATATATATTTGTAACCTGAAATATGATTTTAAATTAACACCAACCAAAGGATACTCCTCATTCAGTACCATAGATGTCCGCAAGTTGATTTTGTGAAGTTGCTGTATGTACAGTAACAGCACAAATTTCAGGGTGTCCACTGTCAGCTGTGCCCGCCATTTGTCTGTCAAAAAATTCATGCATATAATGTTTAAATATACATTCTAATTCACACAATTTTTTTTCACATTTAAAAATTGGAGAAAGGCGTATTTGATAAATAATATATACAAGATTGGAAAAGGAATTAAAGCAGTGTCTTTGCAAACAAGAAATCAAGCAATAAAGTCAATGAAATATATAGAAGCTTACCACGATCTGCTGATGTTTTACACTTGGCTAACTGATTGTAAAGAGCAACCTTTTGTCCTGATGGCATGTCACTCAGTAGTAAATAACCCTCAAAATACCTACAAAACAAACATAATTGTGCTTTAACAAATTTTCATAAATATCTTAGTTCACTTACTTAATTAGTAACAAATATTCAGGGTGTCTTTTGCTGAGTCAAGGCTCTTGGAAGTTTCACAAGTTTGAAGGTTGTGAGAAATGACAGAGCTCATTTGACCCATGTAATGTCAAATCAAACTTCATATGGCATTACCATAGTCAGCTATGTCTTTTTAAAACAAACCAACACAAAAATTGTATGTTGCTATGAAACTCTACTTGATAAATCGCATGTTAAATACTTACATCCATGCTAGGTCTTCTGATAGCTGCAGTTTGTTGCAAGCTATGTGCTTCCACACTGAATAGCTGTAAATAAAACATTACAATCATAAAACATTACAATATCTTAAAAGCCAATTATAAATACAAATGAAGAATCCATTTTAAGTTGGAAAGAATTTTATGAACTATTTAAACTAAAGGCAAATTATGAGTCACTCAAGATTACATACAACCTAGTTGGTTAAAATGCACATAATTTGTAAATTATATGGATAAATCAATACCAAATTGTTCATCCAAAATAAAGTTTGTGTCTATTTTTAAGTATTTGCAGGCCCTACAAGAGCTAAAATATTAACTTCATATTTTCCTCAAACATGGTGAGGGTCAACAAAATGTGCAAAAAATTTTGATCAGTAACTTTCCAGTCAAAAATTGAATCAAAATCTAAAAATAATTTTGGAAGGTCAGAAAGCATCATGGAAGGATACTTAAGCTCTAGGAATTTTTTGCTGGTTGGTTGCGCACAATATAGACAGGTAAGCAATGGCACCTGAGCTCTTCTTTCAAGGTAATCAAAGACCTCAAATACAGAACTTGTGAAAAAACTATAAATCTCCCAGTATTTAATTTCATTTAAAAATTATTTATTTATTTATATGCATAATATAATGATTTTTAGAAAAGCAAAGAAAATGATCTGGTTATAGTTGTTAATATGATCAAAAGATTAAAAATAGAAGAGACTACATATCAAAGTCTAGAACAGTTACAGGTAACTATGATCAAGTGTGTGATCATGGGATGACAAGTTCACTTTTGATATTATCTATCAGCAGTAACTCAATAAAAATGTCAGGTAACTCTGCTGATTGCAATCAAGGATTAACCAATCAAGGTAACCCCTTTGATCAGACAACTGTACAATTACCTTTAATTAAGTACCTGAAAAATCACCTTAAAGGGGATTAAAGGGGAATTTACAGCCATTCAAATAACTTTGATTACATGTGATCAAAGGGAGTATGCACTGATCAAAAAGTTTGGCTTCTTTTAACAGCTTTTAGACTCTCAAGTATATAAGCTGATGAAAGTTTGGAATCTGGTAGCACTGTTGCAAGTTTCATTGATTTGCCACCATGCCACTCTCTAAAACTGTTGCTAGACAGAAAAATTATAGAGAAAGACTTAAAAGTAATCCAGAGAAGTACAAGGAAGTGAAAAAGAAAGACAATGAAAGGCATTTGATTAGAAATATGATGGAGGCTGTTTTGGAGGAGAAACGCAGAAGAGACAGAGAAAGGAAAAGAGAGGCAAGAAAAAGAAAAAGAGAAATGGAGAATCTCCCCCCTGAGTGCTCTTCCTATCAAGACACTTGGTCTCTTGAGGAAGCCACTAAAAGAGTTCAGAAGTGTCTGCCAAAATCTCCTACAAAGCAAGCTGCAGTCTTAGCACAGATCTACAATGAAATGTCCCCAAGGAGGAAGAAGATGTTTCACGAGCAAATTGAGCTTATTGATGAAACAGAAGACTGTGGACAGAACCGTTAAGGAGATGGCCCAGGAAATGTCTTGTAAATCAAGATAATCAAGTCAAACTATAGGTTGAGATGATAATGATATTGAAGTCACATTTTACCGAGCACAAGATTCTTTCAAGATGCTGTTAATTTTAACACTCAAAAAGACAGGACCAGGGTGTCAATAAAAATAATCAGGACTTGCCTTAACAGTAAATGAGTACAGTTCTACACAGTTATATAAAAAGAGTTGGAATAATCTGATTAATGCATGGTTTCTACTTGGCTTATACAACAGACCTTCACAAAGCTAAGTATACATTGTCTATGCATAAATTTTGACACTTAACAAACCTGATATTATACTCTAGTATTAAATAATTATGTTATATTTTTAAAGCTGATCCTTGATTAATAAATGTATTTTGCTATTACTGGAAATTATCTTTAAAACTAATGCTGGTAAATAAATTATTAAATATTATTTCATGGTCTAGTATTACTTTTTTTATGTAGAAATTTTAGAAAATGGACAAAATGTCCTTTTGAAATGTGTCCTTTTAAAATTAGTTTTACGTTGAAGATTCATGTCCATTTCTTTACTGAAGAAATGCTGACTGATCATCTGTCTAATTTCACTGAGCTATATGCAAGGCATCGTCTCTTATTTTTCTTTTTTTCTTATGTTTCCTGTCTTCTTGATTGAACAAAAAATAAGACGTGGTGAAAATCTTTCTGAACATTTAAAGAATATGTAGCCTTCCATGGAGCTTTTAAGGCGAGAGAATGTTGGCTGAAATTAAATATTTTTGAAAACATGTACAATACCTCAGTTGTGGAAATCCAAGTTTCCCTTTGGTCTTAGCATAAGGCACAATCTTTTTGACATTCTGAAAGTAAGAAAACAACATGTGAAATACAATATTTTAAGACATAAAAATGACAGTTTAAATACTGTGAAGACATATTCTATTTGTTTTGGCACTCCCCACATAAATTATTAATAATAATATATAGTTTGTATCACGTGGTGACAAATTTGTGATTCTTAATGGACATTCACCATTTTTTCTTGAAGGCACCTTATACTTAATATCTACACAGCAAAACAAATGAAATCTTTGAATCTCTACAATACTGAAGTTCATAACACAAAATACTAAATTACTGAACCTTTGAATCTCTACAATATTGCAGTTCATAACATAAAATACAAAATTACTGAAAATAAGCTATTGTTAAAATCAAGTCACACTTCTGTCGTCTTATTTTCAGTTGAAATAGGACTGTTCCTAAGACTCACGTGTGGTGAAAGGCGAGGGTGTGGTGCCACCTGGAGTGCCCCATAGTTGAAGGGTTCTGCTTTCACCCACAATATCACCGATGATGGAGAACTCATCCCGCGCGGGCCTCAATTCCACCTGCAATTTTCATGAAAAGTAATAAACACAGCGAGCAATTCATACTAAAATGTGAGTCTGCACGGTTAAATTGGTAGTTTGGATGATAAAAGGTAGTTTTGGGGAAAATTATAATTATTTTTTCAAATGTGATCGAATTTGTGTTAGAATGGAATGCAAAGGCTACGACGAGAAAAAAGGGATCAACCCTTAACGATAATACACCGAGGTCCCAACAATTGTTGAGATCCACTTCTTCATCTTAAAATGTTATTAAAACAATGGAAATCTCTTTGGTTTACAAAAAAGACCTAAATTTAGTTTTTTATTTTACTAAATAGACACAAATAACACCCAAAAACGTCTTACCACCAAAATGAATAAACGACCTTCACCCCAAACACTAACATCAGTTCAGCACGGATGTTCTGCTAAGGTTTGATTGGACGAACATGAAAAATAAATGAAACACAAAAATATTACATGTAGGGAGTGAAAGGAGGTTTTTGAATCAATATAAGGGCCGGTTGGTGTGTAAGCAAAGTTCTGTATGAGTTCAAAAGTAATAGTATATAATATCAACTTGGAGCAAATGTAAATGTGCTAGCTTTTAGGACGCAATCGCAACAAACACAATGGCAAGTAGACCTTATTAATATCAAGGAGTTATAACTCCTTGTTAATATCACGTCTATACATTCTTACATTTACAGATAGACCTATGCGAATACTTTATGTTGGCTTTGTGAAAGGATGATGCCCCGGTCTCCCCTATGTATAATACCCGGTGGATTGTTAATTTGGGCAATTTTCATTTTAAAAAAAGAAGTATTAAATATCCCACCAAAAAAGAGATCGGGTGACGCCGCAACTTGCAGCCTTTTCGATGGCATAGTTTTATTTAGGCCNTTTGTAAGAGTTGAAAGCGACATGACTCTCAAAGTCACGTCAACTTCGTTTACAAGGGTCTACTAATTCAGCTGCAAAAATCACACATGTCATGCCTATTTCATGTTTTATAACAGTGTCATTTGAGAGACGAACGCGACATGGGTCGTGTCAATCTCGCAACTATGGAGTTCAGTAAGTGGCGAAAGAGACACAGCCATGTCATTTTCGGCTCTCAAAGCTCTGTAGTAAAAGACGAACTCGGCATAGGCCTTGTCGTTTTCGCATGTAAAGGGGCGTCTAAAAGACGCACGCGTAGGCTCCTATGGGCCATGGTACTATATAACAATTAGTATTTTTATTACTTTTATCAATTGATTAAAGATAATGTTTTGGCCAAGATTATTCTGGTAGTTGTATGGTGATAAGGTGAGGGCGGTGAGGGGGAGGGGAAGAGTTTGGAACATTTCCAGGAAAATTTTACCTCATTCCTATAATTAAGATCGAAAAAAAATGTCCCGTTTTTGTCCCACTAAAGGCACAGGTGTTGTTTTGTACTAATTCAAAATGAAATGAAATATTGTGGTTATAAAGTGGAGTGAATATTGTTGTGTAACACCAAAGCTTAATCAGAGACGCAATCAACCCATCTTCACCACATGCGTCTCGGGTTGGCAAGAGCCCTTTAATCAATGAAAACGTATCAAATGGCCGCAACCATCTCCAATGAATTTACATTTAATTGCTACCGAATTGAGGCATTTAGACGCAGTCTCTCTTGTATTTAAGTTAACACATTTTTGTTATTTCAACTCGCATTCGTTGGTGTGTACATCTGTCTTTGGTCTCGTATAAGCAAAATCACTTAGCGGACTTAGCACCTTAAAAAAAGACCTGGTTCTGTAATTTCATAAGGTTAATTCTTTTTAGCTGCAGCTGTTCTTATCAGTGTACAAAAACAATTACTGCGAAATTGTGCAGTACAGTATATAACCTGAGTGCGTTCGACCTATTGCATAATATCATTTGCGTGTTCCTTTAATCGAAACAAATGTAGTTATGAGTCGTTGTAATAATCGTCCTTGTTTTTTCAATCATCATCAATGGATAGAGGAAGCATGTGGAAATGGTAAGGCGGGGGAGGGGGGGTCTATGGAAATTTTAAAAGATGCCGTACTAAGTATGTGAAACAGGGTTACTATTTTTTAAAACTCCTGAAGGTAAAGGGCTGTATACCCCATTCTTTATTTGAGAGAGGCAGTGAGAACCCAAAATATGTAGGCTACTCTTTGAAAATTTGAACTTTCATTTAACAATACAGTTGTTTAGAGCAACAGTTTAAAAAACGAGATAAGAGTCCACTTAATCGCAACGTACATAACAAGTTAATTAACTGCTGTCGTGGAGCTAGTGAAACCCGACCCGCCCTCTCACGTGTACCTGTTCAACCGTATCACAGCGAGATTGAATGCACGACGCAACACCAGCAGTAATGTGTGGTATTTTAGTTTATAAACTACCCTGCATTGTACATTATTGGCCGCGACAGCACAAGTAATCATCCGGCGGAGTTCAAAGTGCCGATACGGACTCGGTTACAACTTTGTTTAAACTCATCAGCAAATGAACCCCGTTGTATCCCCCAAATGTATCGATGACTCAATAAAGTATTGTCAAGTGCTGGGCGCATGCAGAGATGATACAGAGATACCATGTGTACAAAACTTTTATAAAGCCACTCTGTTTGTACGTCAGCCTCTTGAACAGGTATCTACTCTATAAGCATCATTTGAAGGTCGAATTAATGTTGCTTGCTTGTTATTAATTGTCCTTACTGCGTTAAATCTGTTTTAAGATTATATCATATCATATCGAGACGTCATTGCTCTCTCTCTCTCTCTCTCTCTCTCTCTCTCTCTCTCTCTCTCTCTCACACTCACACCCACCCACACACACACACACACACACACATTATAATCCCACGATCACTTTTGTACCATTTAAGATTGACGTCCTCTTGTATGATAAAAAAATATGAGTTTTCAATAAAATAAAAGTTTTACACAAAGATTGAAAAAGACACATCCCATATGTGTATGTAGTGGGTTAAATTGGAGGGTGTTTGCTATGGCGTGCTAGGCAGGTGCATTAAGTAGCTTTGCATTTCAACCCTTTCAAAAAAGAAGAATAGTTGAGTGGAAAATCTTCTACTTGCGTTCCAGCGAGAGGACGGGCACTTCGTGTAAAAACAGGTACGCATGCAGCGCTGTTTACAGTGTCCAAAAGTAATTTATCAGCACGCTGGGCGGAGACACACTTTATATCCTATAATTACAGATATTGTTACCAGTTGACCGGTGTTGTATACAAGTCCCATACATTTCTTAATAAGATATTTTAAAGAAGAATGTCCCGGGTTAAAATAGATTTTAAAGAAGGAATTTTTTGATAGAATTTTCAAGGCCATAGTATCACGCCAAAGGCATTGGAGATATATTGCATCTCTACTTCTATGATTGCATGTAGTATCTGTCGTATTCGCAAGCATTCCACAGCTCTGTGGCAGTTGGTAAGGGGGTAATAGGTATTTGCTTCTGCCCTGATAGCCCGCGAAGCTAACGTAGTTGCCACTGACGATTACACCGACGTTGCGTCACAAGTTCCGCAATGAAAACAATCGGAACGAGAAAATACTAACTCCTGAAGTGTCATTAACAACCCAGCGAGAAACCTGTCAAGAAAAGTCACCTCTCCTGACAAAGCAGCTTATTTGAGCTTACACTTGCTTACGACAATCTTGTTGCAACAGTCAGAACGTCAACAGCTCGGCACAAAAGCGCTACCCCCACCTCGGGCGCCGTGGAGTGGTCATAAGAACGGTCCACGTGTGGACACTCTGTTTAAGGTGGGATCGGGGCGGTACAAGTTAACTAACCTGAGCTAACTGGCAATCACATCGATGTGGCTTTGCAGGCTTTGTAAACTACTTAAGTGAGGGCAACTGTAGGGATTATCCGAGTAAGGAATTTTTGTGTTTTACACTGAACTGACGTTGGACGATTCATTTGTAAATTCCGATCGAGTTTTAGACCCGAGGTTTGAACTGACCGAACGTCCGAAAACTGAGTTTCGCAATAAAAGAGAAACAAGGGACTGATATTGGATATCAGGTAAAGTACTTAATCCATCGTTTTCTAAACATTTTGTTGTGTATTTTAAATCAAATGAAAAAGAATAAGGCATACATAAGACTACTGCATGAATAGAAATCGTTTGACCAGAAAGAAAAGTATATATTTCATATGTTCCACCACGTGATGGCCTTTTTTTACTTCGGTTACACTACTGAATAAAAACAATATATATGCGTTATCATGCCCCTCTTCACAGTTCTGGTTTTGATTTTGAGGAATGTAAGTGTAATATAATGATGACCACACGAAGTAAACTGAATACACAGGGAAAAAAAACTGATGTTGATGATGTCTGATAAGTGCCATTTGCGTTCATCTGGCAAAGGTCATGAGCACTGTCTGCAGTCTAGAGAAAGATAAATTCTACTATTTTGTTAGTGGCATTAGAAAAGGTCTTAAACAGCTCATAACGGAAGTACTTGTAATTTTTGCTGTGTTATTTTTGAACTGGGCTACCCCTGTGATAAATTAGTTTCACATGGTTTTGCCGATTGGTCTTAATTCTTTTAATTGAATTCAGCGCAAATATTTTGTAATTGGCTGGGAGTTTTTTATTCTGTGGGAGTGTGGCGATTTACCTGCCCTCAGACATTTCAGCAGTTAAGAATACATATAAGGTAATCTTTCACCAAAGCGACCAGCTTCGAGGGCAGTAAAACTTATAACAGGCAATTGTTACAACTTGATCATAACCGAAAAACGTCTGAGTTTCGCTGGCGATGGAATGTTTTCATGGGAACATTTGAGGAGTTGCCCGCGGCATGCGCATGCTCAACTAATTAAGAACACGATCCAAGAAAACACTCTAACAAACAAGTATCGGATGCAATCACGGTCAGTTATCATAATATTGAGACGTTTTATGAGATGGCTGTGACACGGAATTATGTCAGTTTTGAACGATACGTGGAAAAGAAAAATACTTCATTTAACGATCATAATACCCATTTCAGAATAAACACAATATCCCGATATTGTCTGGTCTTCGCGTTCGGGTTGAAAGGCCATTCGACTCACCGATCAGTATCATACGACAGCTGAGTGCGTTCTGTTTGTGACGTAAGGGCGCAACCTAACCCACCGATTATACAACGGGGTCGCGGGAGGCACTACCGGTACATCGTGTTCTCTTCACGCGCCTCTGCGTGTGCGTTCTTGTGAGTAGTGCTTCCCCACCTCTCGCCCGTAAAGCCCGTAAAATTTGGATCAGATCTCGTATAAAAGAGATTAAGACCAAATTTATATAATCACGTACCTTTTCTTTTCATTATCGTATTTTATTATTTCTAAAACGCAGAAAGTAAATTTCTCTTTTCTTTCTTTCTTTGACTTGTTCTGCTACATGTTTTAATATGAAGTGCATTTTAACGATCTTGTAAAAACGCTGTGAGTCATGTGCCTATGATTGTGATAAAAATTCCAAGTTTTCAAATCTTCTGGTTTATTTAAGGTTTGTCGCAACTGAAAATTCTAAACTGCCCAAAAAATAGTGGTACTCAATCAAGTGTAATTTTGAGGTAGACTTGCTTTAACTCTCATCTTTCATCTAAACTCGTTGCCTTATCCTTTTTTGTCGAATTTTGCACCTTGTCTGTTTTATATCCCTCTGTCAAATGTAAGTAAGTGTGCATACTAGGAAAAATGTAGATTTAACGATATCATTTGATACTATATCAGACTTGTAGCACATTTTCTAGCAGATTATGAAAAACACTACGCCGCCCCCAAAAAGGTACCACCAGACACCAATCTATTCGATCTGTCATTGCCGAACATCTATCACACTAAACTAAATACGGCACCAGAAATCCGTAGTGACCAGGGCGCAAACATTTGCCAGACTTAACTTGCTGTTTCTCTAAAACACTAATCACAGCGTTATCCTATTTTTTCATTTCGGGATCTAGGACCTTGAAATGCCTAAGGCACACAGTTACCAATTTCGTGCAATACGCTGTTACGGTCCTAGACTATTTATTTGACATTTTCTTGCTAGAGTAAATCGTTCAGGGCTCTTCCTCACAAGATCCGGGCCTGAGGGTCTTTGACGCTGAATCTGACACACAACCTTGTGCTCTCCCAGCTGGAGTTGAGCAAGATCGTTCAGATCACTGGAAACTACACGATAGAAGCGTGTTTTAATTTTACTGTTACGCGAGCCCTACTCTTGTTTCCGATTCACGCTCCCATTTCACGGTGGTCGACTCGAAAAAGATGCGAACACTGGGTATCAAATGTCTCGCTTTCAGCCAGATAAAAACGCGAACCACGCACTTTCTAGTGGATTTTTTCAGACCTTGATATTTGAAACCCATTTGTTAATGATATCTAAGCTCGATCCGATTGAACGAGTATAGTTTTCCGTGTTTTGTCAGCACCCTTTCTGTAATTGTTGCTCGCCTGGTCGGTTACGAAGAAGCTACACCGTCCCGGCGTACAAAGCTTTCTTGTTGTCGGGCATGCCGCTTTGCACAAAATGTTGTTCCACGCAACAAACCGCGGAATGGTATTAGCGGAGAAACCTCGAATAAGCGGAAACTGAATCACGTCTCTCAGGTACATGGTCTAAAAAGAAAAGAGCATGCGGTCCATGTCCTAACAACACTTGCTCTAAGGGGATTCTCAACTCGCAGACAAAACGATTCACCCCTTTATTATTAACTCAGTGCGGTAACTGAGTTGCTAAGCTCAGTATCTGTCAAAAGGAAATTGACGTCCTTACACAGTGACTGTGACGGACTAATCGTTGAGGACCTGGCCCGATTCAAGCCCTGTATCAACAGCTGGGACGGAGATACAAAGCTCACAGCTATTGAATACTTCCAGTCAGCGTGCAATTCTCGATGCGTTAACAACGAGAGAGAGCGCTTAGCATGTGAGGGAGAGAGAGCGCGAGAGAGATAGACAGAGGGATAGGAGAGGAGACGCCGTGAAATATTAGTTAATTCCAAAGCGTGGGTTACGCAGAAGTTTTTTGAAATATTGACGGGATTTTCATAAAACCGATAAACAGATAAACATCGCGTGGTGGTCATTGGTCATTTTGAAGACGTTGCAAAGTGTTGTGGAAATAACAGAAAAGAGGTGGATATAGTTCGCTACGCGATAAAGGTCGGCTTCAGCCTTGATACATAGCAGAAGTAGCGATAGGAGTGGGATACACATACAACTAGGCAGGAGACCTCATTTGCAGGACTTGAGAACAACGGGTAAGGATAAAAAAGATTTTTTTTCAAATATCGTGTCAACCCCCACAGCAGTTCAGTAAGTAAACGGATCATTTAACCACCTTTCTTTCAGATGTGTGTGCCTTGTAAATGCTCGATTTAGTCAGGTATGTCGAGTTTAAATATTGAAATTAAATTCCAATGGGACTCTGAAGGGTATCATTGTTGAGCAAAACTATCGATTCGGGATAGTGAAAACAACCTTGTTTTCGTTTTGATTTTTGTCCCTGGGTAAACATAGAAAGGACCTAACCCTCCGGAGGCGAAAGAATGATCCGACCTCGAGGGATCGGGACCTGCATAACTCGGTTTGTTTTTGGCATCTTTTCTCTGCTGCCTCGGTGTAAAAAGTAAGAAAAGGTGATCAAGGTGAAATATGGGTGAAGTTGATGAGTGTTGGATAATGGGAGGCCGAAAGGCAGAGCTAAAAGTGTTATAATAGAGTAACATGTAGATTGTGTTTTAAACATAACTCTTTCTCTCTCTCTCTCTCTCCCTCCCTCTCTCTCTCTCTCTCATTTTGCCCTCATGTCCCACACGCTCACTTACATAACCACACTTTTTTAAAACTTGAAATAACTCGTATAACAGTAGTTAGTGTGCTTTCCCATGTCCAGTTCCTCGGTTTGAAGTGACCGGCAAAATACGACACAATTAACCAATTTTAATCAACTTTGCCAACGCCAAGTTTTATCTCGCCCCTCAATTACCACCGAAATTTGTTGTTTGTAATGAGTTCCCCGACAGGCCGTAGCCATCAAGTATACTTCAGTCATCAATCAACGTCCAGTGCCGTTACCATCGTTAGTAAACTCCGCACTCGAAGACTGCTTGAGTAATGGTATTTTTTATCTATATTTTCAACACCTCCGTCCCCCCTCTTCTCTAAGGCTTGATAAATGCTCAGTAGCAGAGGTGAGTGACCATTGTGAGTGACCACAAAGTTTGAGTGACATGTACAACGACCAGGCTTTGCTGGCTAGATTAAGAAATCAAACTGAACAAGAGGGCGGCTCTGGTCGTCGTTGAAGAGACACTGAATGGTGGGAAAATAGATATTTTTTACCGATGGCTGTTTTGGTCAATATCGTTCAAAGGCTAGTTGTAAGTAAATGAATCGCTCAGTGAAAAGCTTCGTCTGAGAAGAAGTGCAAATGCGTGTCATATCACAGAACGTAATTTGTGGTGAAAAAATTGCATTCAATCTACGGAAGAGTTGCATCTATAGAAAAAAAAGATAACTACTCCTTTATTATATTTGAGTGTTCACGCTCGGATGCGTGCCTGTGTGCCCGTGGGTCGCCAGGGGTCTCTTATACATGAAACTGAAACTGTGATGTTTATGCAATGTTTGGTCTACCAGACGGCGGTCGTGCACAACGCGTCGAGGGGAAACTCTCCAACATTGTTCTTTTTTTCTACGCTCCCTGGTCTGTAAACAGAAGTGGCGTAAGGTGATACTCTATTATTTAGTTGGAACAGAAATGCAGTATCTTTTTATTGTTGGTATTTTATCAAACTTCCAACTCAAGCTGTGATTCTCTATCAGATCCTGTGTTCCTTGCACTCAGTTTACTAGCCAAGGGAACTTAGCAGCAGACTTCATCACCAAAACTCAGTGCCCCCTAGCCTGGGATCTTTAAGCACTGGTCTTGCTATTTCAAAGAAATTTTCTACTCCAACAGGAGTGAGTATATAGTAATAGGCCTAGCTTAGAATTGTTTATATGCCAGGCGGACGTTTGATTCGAAGCGCTCTCTTCGGCTCTGTATCGGGTCATCACTCTGCTTTTACTCAAACGAAAATTTTCTTTTCCAGTCGCGCCAGTGTGACGATGGCCTGGAATAAAGCTGCTTTGGTCCTGCTTTCTCTCATCTTGTGTTCCGAGGGCCAGGTACACCGGTATGGCCTATCGTCATACCACTACAACCGGCGCCCGGCCCAAACCCCCTGCCCGTACCAGTGTATCTGTGCGCCCATGGGCTCGGACCCGCCTAGATCCAAGAATCTGAACGTGATGCTCACGATGCACAGGTACCAGAGGTTGATTTACGGATACGGCGGCATGAAATTCCAGGAAAATTCCCCGGAAAATAATGGCCGAGAAATGACCTGTCTGGGACTCAGCAGCGTGCCCAGTTACATACCAGGAGGTAGGTGAAAACGATCCTATTCACATATGAAGAAGTATACATATATAAATCTATATATGCAAGACGTTGTTGTTGTTGCAGTTATTGTGTGTGGTGTTATTGTTAAAGGTGCAACAATATGACATGAGCTGAAAGCTCTTTTATGTTGTGACTTATTTGTTTGTGGTTGGTCATGCTGTTAGATACAGCACGTTTGGTCTCTAATTTATAAGCAAGTGGCCCCGCTATGCGAAATTGCCTGAGATTTCCATCACATCTATCGTTCCTACAAATGATAATGTACAATTTAAACCGCAAAGTGGGCATCTGCCTTAACAACGCCTATCAAACTTCATAAACAACCCAGAGTTATCATATTGCCGGCTATAAATCTGCGCCCAGAGCAGCTGCGAGAGACTTTTGAAATTATCAAAAAATGAGTACCAATTTAACTTGCAATTTACGCGTTTTAGATTGTTGGGAGGAGACTCGTTAAGCCATGTTGCCTTTGATGCTCCAGTACAGAAAATCATTATTTTTTCAATGCATGTCGCCTGGTGCAGCACGGTGGCCGTATTTCTTTTTTAGAATAACATTTTGTTGGTTTAATGTCACGGTACAGGCTTGCAAACGCGAACGTTTAGAAAATGTCGCATTATTTAAGAGGGTAAAAAATAGAACACATTATCTGATCTTGTTGGTTTTTTCGGTAGTATTTCCGTCCAACAACAATAAGGCGTTTCCTGAGCCTGACCCGAGAAAGATTTCTTTTGGTGGCTGTCCCCAAATTTCCAGTAATAGGTTTTGTTTTGTGTCAATAACTCAAGTGTTGGGTGTCTCATTGATGGAGGCAGTGCTGTGTCAACAACAGCCCTGCTTTAAATAATGTTCTCATAGCCTTCCCTGAACCAAGTCAAGAGATCTTACACATGGCATAAGTGCGTGTAAATATCCAAGTAAATCTTAAGTTAAAGTTAAATATGTTTGTTTATTGAGGTATATACTTATACAGCACCAACACGGTGTAATTAACCGGTGTTGTATGGATATTTGTTACTAACAATAACGCAAACCATTGTTCATTTAGCAAACTTAGTTGGGCTGTTTAACTCTGTGCGTAAATAACAGGGCAAGGAGGGGCGTCAGTTGGGGCGGCACTAACTTATTCTCCCACCGTTCCCTTTATGTGTTTTACAGGCGAAATTCTTAATAAAAGCGCAGACTTTCAAACATGTTGAATGGAAATAAGTACAATATTTTAGTACAATATTTATTTTTTGTAAACATATAAACTTATATTGTTTTCCAATCAATTCAACAACATGACCAGAAATAAGTCGAAAGGGGGCAAATTCCGGTCGGAGGAAATCGGTAAGAGCCTAAGAGGGATTCGCTTATAATTTTTGTCTTCAAATGAACTTCTGACCGCTTTAGAGCGGCTTACCAATAAACTAGCGAATCTCTTTAAACCCGAGTTTCTTTCAATATTTGTGATAAAGATGGAAATCTTGCTTCGGGCTTCGAGTATTCTTAAGTCACCGACAGGACACTAAGTGGCTCAAAACCTGAATTTCACAGCGGCAAACATGCGGCTGATTTACCTGCCCTGAAGATGTAAGATTCTCGCGTTTCTCTACTTTTATTTTCCGTCAATAGTAAGACAGGCGTTTAAACTTTGCATGAAAAGGTGCGTGAAAAAGTCATTGATGGGCACTATTACCAGTCGTGCCCCTGCCTTTGACGAGGGTTGAGAAAGGTTAAGTCCATTACGCCGCGTGAAATGAAGGGGAAAACGAGAAGGAAGGTGTGGAGGTTTTCAGTTTTTTTGGACGTGCTACAACGCCCCTTGGCCCCTCACAGAATAGCACGGACTCCTGAAATGCGCCCTATTTCCACTGGGTTGCCTATCGTGGATCATGAAAGGTCTCGTGTGCCATACCTTGCCGTTGTTTTGCCATTGTATTGCACATTGTGTCACGTTTCATTTTATTGCATTGTGAAGTGTCGTGTTTTATTTGGAGCTGAATGCGCGGTTTCTCGGGTTTAAGCGCTGTGGCTTCACTAAGCCACAGATGCGGTATGGGTTTATTCTAGTTCAGGTACAAAGAAGTAGAAAGATGTGTGTGTGTCATATATCAGGCTGTCAATCTTTGGTTGTGTGATCTGCCATAAATCGAAGCAATTTGCTTCTGTAACGATGAGTGATAGAACCCTTAACACCTATCACACATGTTAATAAAATCCGCCGCTTTACGCAACTCAAGATACTGTAAGTGTGCATATGAGGATTTTCGACGATACCTCTTGTGCAAGTTTAACCCTCGGGTAGCATATTGTTCTCCATATTAAATACATTTCTCTCTTTACACCTGTAATACTGAGCTGTGTACTTTTGTTAGTGATTTAGACTGACCTTGAAATCAATTTATGTGTAGGTCAGATTAGACAGGCCTTTATTGGTAAAAAAAAAACAGTGTAGCAACTAAAAGTTGTTTGGCAAGGTTTGGGAAAGGGAAATATCTGTCTTAAAGTGATTCAACGATACTCGACATATTCTCCCCTCGTTAAAAGATTACCAACCAATTTGAACTGCAATGCTGATAATGATACAACATTGACTAACACGAGCTGTGGATAGCACTGGCCGTACTCCACCAAGTATCTCTTATAAAGATTTGTCGTTACCCTTTGGAGGAAACTGTGGGTTTGCTGTAAGAACGAAATATACTCGTGGTAATGCTACATTTTGTCGGTTCCTCTGGGAAAGTTTGTGATCACCTTTGGCCCTTTGCCCATTACTGGACAATTACCTGACACAGATGTGGTCCCTCTGTAATCCACACTATCTGGACAGTATCACGTTCTCTTAATGAGTCAATTGAGAGCGCCAAATTCAATATCTGTTGCATGCTTCTAATTGAAAATAACCCTTTGTGCTAAATTAAAACCATAAGGCATATTTAATATGGGGGCAGTGGTAAACTGACCGGGACTGGACGAATGTAGGGATCCTTTGTGAAAGCTATCGGCATGTTCATCGTCCAGTGTCAGCACTGAAACAGCCTGATTGTTGTCAGATTGGGGCGGTGGTGTCGCGAGAAATCTCCCGAGCTCGCCCCCTTCGGCAGGAAATGAAAGCGCAGAACAAAAGAGTTGGGTGGCCGACCGATTCCGCAAAAATTTTGTAGCAATTTGAGAGTGATTATTATCTGTAGTTCAGGTCTTTTGACTTATTAATGGTATTGAGTTGGCCGCATTTCGCGCTGATGTATGTGACACGGAGGACTGGTTTTCAATTTATGCGACAAAACTCTTGAATTTATTTAAAGATATAATCGGGTTTTGTTAATAATGATAAATTGGCCTGAAGCTGGACATATTTGTAAATTGATATTTCTATTGTCGTTGTATGTTCAATTAACGCCACCCAACTGTCTGCAGTTGTCATAACCCGTGCCTCCATTTAGCGGATGTTCTGGGTTTGGAGTGTCTGACTTTAAGGAATTGGGGTTTGTCGTTATCATCCAACTGGTATTTTAGTCCATTCTGTATCTGAGTGACTTTTTCTGGGTTTAGTTTTGTGGGCGGGAGCTGGGGGGGGGGGGGGGGGGTTGTAAACACGCCGCAAATGCTGGAAGTGAACTAAAGCTGAACAGTCCGAGGGCACAACATTAATTTTCTCCAGATCCATCGTACATTATGAGCGTTGTGTGATATATGTATCGTTGCGCTTATTAATCGCACGATTAGCATAATTGATTGGATACAGCCTGGAGTCAGGTGTATGGAGACTGACCTCGTACTAGCCTGAAAGCTATTATATAGTATGGGAATATTCATTACTACGTTCACACTATAGCAGTCGTATAGGGATCGATCTATTTTGAAAATATTCTGATGGTAATTTCATGAAATCGTTACTAACCTTCACGTGTAAATAAGTCACCATTATGGTATTTAAATGGAAGTTGGTTATTTTGAAATCGATCTTTTCTGAAAATATTCTGAAGATGTTTTGGCAAAATATTTGCAGTACAGTTTTGCGTAAATCACAATTTAATGGAGGGCGTACAATCATCACTGGAAATTTTAGAAAGGCAACGGGAAACCAGGTGATGATCTTCGTGCAAACTTGTATAGAAACTGACATTTCTTTATGTATAGTACCCGTCTCATTATAGTCTGTAAATTACACATGATTATCTACTTCATTATGCTAGTAGCAGCTATATAATATGGTTCATGACAATGCAGCGTGCTATCAGGTACACTATATTACCGCACGGTGTCAGATTACAGCACAAAAAGTGGGAAAGGGTCGCGTAAACGTTGAAACACGTTATAAGTCGTTTTTATTGCAGTTTTTCAGAAAATTAAACTATTTATATATTTTAGTATTACAAAGTTAAGACGTGCATGCACAATAAAAGTATTAACTGTAACAAAAATGGACCCCAAATAAGGGTGACTGTAGCCCCATTCACACGAGACACTTTCAATCGCGATTAGTGCCAAATCGCGATTCTATCGATGTAAAGCTTCTAGTGTGAACGCAGTAGAGACGTCAAATCGCGATTCAAATTAATCCTACTCGAGAGGTGGATTCTATCGATGTAAACTTAAATCGCGATACAAAATTTCCTAGTGAGAACGGGATCGATGTTAGCACCGGAAGTTGAGGACTTAAGAGGCGTGCACAGTTTCTATCGAAAGTACAATATAATACAATACAATAAATTTTATTTCATGTCAGGTATAAATTGAAACGAAACATTAGCTAAATACAGCTAATCGCCGACTGGAAAGTGAAAGAAAACAAACTGTCCACGCAATTTCAAGTTTCTTCGCAGTCAGCAAAATGGCCAAGAGGACGTTCTGGTCTGAAAACTCAGTGGCAGCATAACTAAATATTTGGGCCGATGAAAGTATTAAATGGAAAATAACAACGTACAAACCGAAAGCATGGTCTTGAAGGCAGCTACTGCTCATGATCAAAAGGATATACCGTGACTCCCCTAGCG